AGTTCCGCCGCCTCGCCGAGCCCGGGCCGCCGGCCCGCAGCGCCTCCGCCGGGCTGCTTGGCGCCCGCAGCGCGCAGCGGAGTGCGTTGCCTTGGCGACCGGAGCTGCCGAACTCCCGCGGCGGGCGCTACGGCGGCTCGGAAGGGACCGGGAGAGTTCGCGTCCCGTTCCGCGGCCTCCGAGCGGCGGCGGAAGGGAAAAGGAGGGGGCAGTTGGGGTCCTGAGCCGCGAGGGACCAAGGTGGGGTTTGGCAGCCTGGATCTTGGCCCCAGGAGAAGGGGAAAGGAAAGGAATGCTGAGGGAAACGGGGACAGCAGGGCGGGGGGTGGGGTGGGGACTTGTACCTCGGAGCCTGCCTTTGCCTCAGTTTCTCTCTCTGTAACCAGATACGGAACCGTTCGAGAAGAGATCAGGGCCATAGGCAGAACCTTGCTAGCCTGGGACTATTTAAAGTCGAGAAAACTGATGTGGGAGGAGTGACAGATGCATTTCCCTTTAATCTCAGACGGGGTCGTGTGGCAAAGAATGAATAAACTTGTTTCTTGGGGCTCAAGGTGAGAATTAGATCATCAGATCTCATTTCAATATGGCAAGTATACTTTAGCTCCTGACCAGCAATTATACCTCTTGAAATAATCCTGCAGATATACTGGAAGGTGAGCACAAAGGCTATCCATTGCTCCCATACAATGAATGACTACAGCAGGAATTAAGAGAGACCGAAGGAAGTAGGTACAGATGTGGCTATAGTTTCGGTAAAGACCCATCTTCAAGCTACGCTTACATGAGTGGTCTGACTAGTCTTTGCTTCTACTTCTACTTCTACTTTGCTTCTACTCTTACTTCCAACCTTACCCAACCCTGCCCCCAGTGTGTTTTCCACCTTGCAGCCCAAATGTCCTTTTTTAAAATACGAGCCTGATCATGTCCTTACTCTGCTCAAAACCTTTCAACACTTATCCCTGTGTCACATTCAGAATAAAATCCAGAGTAGTAACCACGTTCAGCTTCATCTGTCATCATTCTCCCTCTTGTTCATGCTCCAGCCACACACTGGCCTTGTTTTTAGGTAAAGCATGTGTTTAAATAGACACACACACACACACACACACAATACACAGGCCCGAAATGGTGTCATTTAGAATTCCCAAACGGTGCTCAATACGTAATCTAATTGCAGTTTCAACCTCCCCCAGAGATATAGTCTTAACCAGTCAGCCAGGAATTTTTCAATCCTCACGGAAGGGTCTGCCACCTGCGGCTTCTCCATCCCCCAAAGAAGGACAAGTTAATCTGCATAAGACAACAGGCTTGCCGGTTAGAAAGTGGCCTTGCCTAGAACAATCCTTTTCTTTTACTAATGACGTTCTCGCTCTCACTCTCCTTCCATAAAAGTTTCCATGTCATTTAACTCCTTGGGAGTGCCTCTCTACTTGCTAGATGGGTGCTCCTGGATTGATGAATCTCTTAATAAAGCCAATTAGATCTTCAGATGTACTTTGGTTGAATTTTGTTACTTACTACGTGCTTCTGTTTCATGGCTTTTCCCCTTGCTGTTCCGTGTTAGGACCACTCTTCCCCCAGACAATGCTGCAGCTTGCTTTCCCATTTCTTTAGTATCTCTGTTCAAGTATCAGATCTTCAAACACACCTGCCCTGACTACTCTGTTTAAGCAGGGCCCCACCAACTCTGTGTTCTCCTCACCTCTTTGCCTATTTTTCTTCACAGCTCTTGTCAGTATCTGACATATTTGTTTATTACTTGTCTTTTTTCATTGCATTGGAAGCTCTTCTAAGGGCAGGCATTTTGTTTTGTTCCTGTGGAGGCCGAGAAAATTAAGGCCATCCCACCTCAGGTTTAGCTGATGTGGGAAATAGAGGCTGAAGAAAATCATTCAAATTCCTTACCTGACAAGCCCTTGAAACAGACAGAGTGGCTCTCCCCTGGGGACTTAACTGCCCTCACCTTGAGGTTTTGCTAAGGACAGTCCTAGCCTGACTGACCCCCTACCCCGACAGGTCCCACCAGGATCCTGTAAGTCTACTTTAACAATTCCTTTATCTCTAAACCTCCAAGGAATCATTCCCAAGTATATGGCCCACTGATATGCATCTAAAGGGTCTCACGAGAGGATTTTTATTATTGGTAATAAATAATCTTTCTCCCCAAAATAGCTAGCCCCTCAAGGTCCTGGAGACCTTGCTTCTGAAAGTCCTTAGAGATTTACATCATCCATAATCCCCTTTGTCCTCACTCACCGAGGAGTCCACCCCTACTCTGCCTTTAAAAACTCTGGCTGTAATCTGGTTCGGGGTCCAAGTCCACTACTCCGCTGTGCGGGGTATACTTGGGCCCAAGCTTAAGCTTGTCAAATAAACCCTCGTTTGATTGCCTCAGTGCTTGTCTCCTCGGTGGTCTCTCAGACGCGAAAACTTGGGCATAACAGTTCCCTGCTGCTTTCTCATCACTGGGAACTGCCTGGCACATAGTAAGAGCGTGATAAATATTTATTGAATAAATGAAAAAAGTTAAGTGAAAAAAAGCAATCATGCACCACTATGTGGTTAGAATGCTACCACATGTAAAAAGGGAATGACATAATACATATAAGACTGGCATAGGCAATATGAACTTTGGAAAGAGATCTGGGAGATGAGATGGTAAGATAAAACATTTTCACTGTATGTTCTTTAATGCAGTAGTTCTAAAAACCACATACATGTATTATCCTTTCAAACAATATATATGAATGTAACAAATCAGAATATGCCACTTTAGCATAAAGATTATTTTGAGCTGAAATCATTTGCAAAGTAGACACAGAAAAGTTCTCGCCCTCACTCCTATAAATTCCTATATATGAAGGTGTAGCTCCTGTCCTCTTCACCAGGAAAAGCAGAATTTAATCACAGGAGATAACCAACTTTAGACTTTTATCAGTGAGAGGAATTACATAACAATCCAGAGTAGTACTAAAACAATCCTTATCTCCCATTAGTTTCCCGGGTGTATTTACCTTCCCACAGTCCACTTCCCTAACACCCTAAACTCCTTTTCATTGTCTTATCACTTCTCTACAAATTTAAAATTTATCATCCTTTGTCAGAAAGGTATAAAAGCCTCCAGGCCTACTCATCCCCATCTCTGAAGCTAGAGGGTAGAGGGAAAATTTCCCTCTTAGAGGGAAAAATACAACCGAATTTTGACAATCAACATGCGAAGATAGGAGGGGCTGCCTTGGTTTACAGTAAGCCTCACACCCTAGAGGAAATATGGTTCCTGCATGATGTGGGAAGTTGGAGGTGATCCACTTTCCCCACTTTTGTCACCTAGGAGAGGAACACTCAACAATTTAGGGTCAGAAACACCGAGAGATGGACAGAGTCCCACTGACAGAATGGTGCAGACCAGAAAATGAAACTTTTTTTTTTTTAAAGATTTTATTTATTTATTTGACAGACAGAAATCACAAGTAGACAGAGAGGCAGAGAGAGAGAGGAGGAAGCAGGCTTCCCGCTGAGCAGAGAGCCCGATGCGGGGCTCTATCCCAGGACCCTGAGATCATGACCTGAGCTGAAGGCAGAGGCTTTAACCCACTGAGGCACCCAGGCGCCCCATGAAACTTTTTTTTAAGATTTTATTTAGTTATTTGACACACAGAGATCACAAGTGGGCAGAGAGGCAGGCAGAGAGGGGGAAGGGAAGCAGGCTCCCTGCCGAGCAGAGCGCCAGGTGTGGGGCTTGATCCCAGGACCCTGGGATCATGACCTGAACCAAGAGCAGAGGCTTTAACCGTCTGAGCCACCCAGGCACCCCCAGAAAATGAAACTTCTGCTGCCAGCTAGACCTAATATTCCTCACTGAACGTAAACAGTGCTCACAGAATATAAACAAGTATCAGGTAAGGCCAGTCTGTTGGAACAAGGCAAGGACAAGGCCACTGTGGAACCACAAATAATAACATCCTCCTCATCTAACATGAGAGTGTCCTGCTTCCTTCTCAATCTTAACTCTGGCCTCACTTCAATCCTCCCAGCTCCTGGGTAAAACAGCAAGATCCCTACCCATTGAATTGCTCCTGCTTTTTGACTGTATCCAATTCAAAACTGTTCTTCGCTTGCTTAAACCCTCCTTACAGATAGCCTGCACAAACGCAAATCCTACAATAAGCTCTTCCCAATTCCATTTTAGGAAGATACCTCATATTTCCTCTAATCTGAATTCTCCCTTGCCCTTGCCCAACAAGCTAAATAAATCTGATTCTTTTTTGCGTACAGGTTATGTTCCTGATGGGATTTGATCGTGGACTCTATCACAGTCTTAGGTTTCTTCAGCCCAGTCCAGCAGTATCCAAACAGGAAGACGTAAGGATTTTAAGGGTTAACGTTATGCCCGAGATTTCATCTCTGAGAGACCACCAAGGAGCCAAGCACTGAGGCAATCACACGAGGGTTTATTTGACAAGCTTAAGCTTGGGCCCAAGTATACCCGGCACAGCGGAGTAGGGACTTGGACCCCGAACCAGATTACAGTCAGAGTTTTTAAAGGCAGACTTGGCGGTGGGTGAGGACAAAGGGGATTATGGATGATGTAAGTCTCCCAAGGATTTTTGGAAGCAAGGTCTCCAGGACCTTGAGGGCCTAGCTATTGTTGGGAGAAAGGTTATTTATTACCAGTAGTAAAAATCTTCCCGTGAGACCGTTTAGATGTATATCAGTGGGCCATATGCTTGGGAATGATTGCTGACACTATCTTGGAGGTTTAGAAATAAAGTTTCCTAAAGTAGACTTACAGGATCCTGGTGGGACCTGTCGGGGTAGGGGGTCAGTCAGGCTAGGACTGTCCTTAGCAAAACCTCAAGGTGAGGGCAGTTAAGTCCTCAGGGGAGAGCCACTCTGTCTGTTTCAAGGGCTTGTCAGTAGGTAAGGAATTTGAATGATTTTCTTCAGCCTCTGTTTCCCACATCAGCTCAACTTGAGGTAGGATGGCCTTAATTTTCTTCTGCCTCTGTTTCCCACATCAGCTAAACTTGAGGTAGGATGGCCTTAATTTTCTCGGCCTCCGCAGTTACCTGGAAGGGTTACTTTCTGTGACTGCAAAGCAACCTGACTTGAGCAGCTATTTGGTGGTAGGGGTTGGGGGAGGGGGTGGTGAGGTGAAGGGCTCAGGGGGAATTAGGAAAGCTTGAGTAATTCTCCTTCCTCTGCCATCAGCCTTTTCTGTGGCCTGGGGTGAACCACTGCACTTTGAGCCTTTTCCATTTCTGTAAAAAAACAGATTCAAATATATTACTCAGGCTTCTTCCAACCTAAATATTCCAGGATTCCAAACTCTACAGGTTTTTATATTCCCAGGTAAATGTTCCCTTCTTAGTCATCTGTATCACACTCTTATCATTGTTGCCATAGCTGCATACTACCTGCACTTTGATGTATATATCTCAAAACTTTTTCTTTAAGTAGAGGCTCATTTTTTACTTAAATTTACCAAGTTAAATTTCCATCACTTCTTAAATGAAAGACCAGCATTGCTAAAGCTGCCTCCGCCTCTCCAGCCACCCCAGTAATCTAAATAAACTTCAGCACACACCCTAAGCCTGAATGACTGATTAACTAACCCTTTTTTGTGTATCTATAGATCGTGCATTCTTTCCTAGAAAGAACAGAGTACATCTGCACCTCACTCACAAAACAGAAACCAGACCCTCTTGCACAAACCCCGGGAACTAAGGAATCAGACCCCCCTTACACAACCTCCCAGCACTGCGATAACGTTTGCAACCCGGCACCATCGAGTCTGCACGTAATCAAGAAATGTTGGGGCCACTGCACTCCCTTTACTGATTAACTGCCCTAAACCCTTTTATAAGTCCCTGGGCCAGGCAGAAACCTTGGAATTGGCCTTTGGACAAGACTGTGCCTTCTCTCCAGGTGGCCAGACTCCTGAATAAAGCTCTTACTCTTTTCCAAGCAAAACTTTCTTGAGTATGGGCCTTTGGAGCGACGGGCAGCCAACCTGGGGTTCAGTAACACTTATTGGGAGAAATCAAAGAATTTCTGCAAGTACACACACAAACCCTAAAACAAAAAGTGCTATTTAACTGTGGATGGGCTTACCTTTTGGAGAGATTTGGAAAAGAAGCCTTCGCTCTGTCAAAAATGGAGATAAGCAAATGTTAGAAATATGGTAAGTGCTAGTCTCAAACTCTCTTTGGTTTGAAACAAGACTTCCTGACTCTGCCCTTGGGTGCTAGCTAATGTGTTCATGTACCCTGAGGCCCTTTCGTGTACCCCGAGTGGCATGTATACCCCTCATTTTCACAGACAACGCCCATCCTTCCCCAATTAGCTTGGACTCATCTTTTGGTTCTCAGACTAAATATAAATTCCCAGAACTCTCTAGGGGGGCGCCTGGATGGCTCAGTCCTTAAGTGTCTGCCTTCCCCACAGGTCATGATCCCAGAGTCCTGGGATGGAGCGCCGCATCCGGCTCCCTGCTCCTCAGAGGACCTGCTTCTCCCTCTCCCACTCGCCCTGCTTGTGTTCCCTCTCTCACGTCTCTATCAAATAAATGATACAAAATCTTTTTTTTTTAAGATTTTATTTATTTATTTGACAGAGATCACAAGTAGGCAGAGAGAGGAGGGGAAGCAGGCTCCCTGCTGAGCAGAGAGCCCGACGCTGGGCGCGATCCCAGGACCCCGGGATCATGACCCGAGCCGAAGGCAGAGGCTTTAACCCACTGAGCCATCCAGGCGCCCCAAATGATACAGAATCTTAAAACAAAAACAAAAACAAAACAACAACAACAAAAAAAGACCCCTCCGGGATTGCCCCCCGCCCCCCAAGAGACATTACTTTCCCCTCACACAGTAAGCATTAAATAAACTTTTTTTTTCATTAAATAAACTTTTATTGAAAAGGTGGTCCCTCATACTACTTCCTGGTACTCATCACAATGTGTCGTGGTGCATGTGTGTCCAGTGTCAGACTCTTTTTTTCAAGTAGGCCGTAAATTCCTGAGCACTTCTGTACGTCAGATGTCTACACGTAACGAGCTGCCAAGGGAATACAGTTGAGGTGAAGGAATAAAGCCTTCACAGCTCCTGCATCTCTGGGTCGCTTTCGCCCCACCTCCCGCCTCCGCGCGGGTCGGTTAGCCCCGCCTCCTCCGTCCGCGCCGGCCTGGGCTAGCCCCGCCTCCTCCCACCCCTCCTGGCGGGCTTAGCCCCGCCTCTCCCTGAGCGTCTGGTCGATTTAGCCCCACCTTCTCCCTCGGCCTGTAGCTGATTTAGCCCCGCCTTCTACCTTTGCCAATGACAGAGGCTTTCCTGGCAGCGGCGGCCTAGGGCGGTGGGCGGGGCCACGCAATGACGCCACCGGAGCGTTTCCGGCCTGAGAAAAACGTCGCGTTTCTGAGGAGACGCCTCGTCTGGCAGTTACCACCGCGCTAGAAGCCTCCCGACCGGCCGCCTGCATCACCAGCGTCACCATGGGGGCTGTGCTGGGCGTCTTCTCCCTCGCCAGCTGGGTGGGTTCGGGGTCTGGTGTCTCCGTCGGACGTGTCGTTTGGGGGAGGGCGATAGGGAGACCCAAGCCCAGACGCGATCGGGCCTTGGCCGGGAGCTTGGGGGGACGGGCCCTGGGCTGCAGAGAGTATCCCAGGCGCAGACCAAAATCCGTGATGTCCCCGACCCCCCCCCCCCCCCCCCGCCCAATCGGGATCGGGCGGCTCGCCTTCCGGGTTTGGGGGGAACGTCGGAGGCCAGGCCGTCATTGTTTACAATTTCGATTGCCCCGCCCCCGCGAGGCTTCCGGCCTCTGGGTTGCTCTGGAGCTGGAACCCCGACCGCGGAATGAGAGTTCCGGGGCGCGGGCGCTCTGCTTCATTTCGAAGTACCCACATAAGGTGGCGTCGTTTAATTTTGGGGCGGCTTAAGTGATATTTTTATCCCGGAGCATGGATTTGCCTTTGCTAGAGACTATGTGGGAGATTTGGGATTTTAACCCAGGCTTGTGTGCAGTTGTGGTGCAAAGGAAAGAAGGCCTTGTGGATTATTATTTAAAATTGGAAACCATGGCGTGAACATTTTGGGACTTGTCCAAAGCATTTATCTCTGGCTTCCCGTAACATGAAGCTAATAACCCCAGCATTCCTCCTCTTGAGAGCTGCTGTGAGGATAAAGTGAATAAATGGGTGGAATCGCTTTGTAGATTGTAAATGCCTTACTTTAAAAAGGAAATTTTAGGATCTGTGGAAGAGAATATGGTGAGTTCCCTCATGTAGTTTCTCCTGAGGAGCACGATTCTTTAAAATCACTTCTTGTCTCATAACTTTCCAACAATTTAATTGACCAAGGACTCAGTCTCAGCTCATTCCACTACCATTTCTTAGGGACAAAGTATAAAGTGTATTTTCCATTCTTTAAGGTTGTTGATCCTAAGTCAAAAGGGTATTTGGTCATTTACAGGTTCCTTGAGAGCAGTGGCTTTCCAATTTTTTTACCTTGACCCAAAGTAAGAAATATGTTTTACATTGCTGATTTAATATGCCCATTTACACACAAGTTTCATGAAATAATTTTTACCTTTATCATCTGCTGTACAATTTTTCTGTCACATTAGAACAAATCCAGGTAAGTTGAATTTTACAGTCCAACAGTAGGTCAAACTATTTGCAAAGTAGATTTAGGAAAAAATATACAGTTAAGGTAATTAAGGAGTGAATTTGTAAGTTGAAACAAAGTGTTCTTTCTTACTGTGATAACCTGAAACACATTTTGTCTTTGATATAACGATAATATTTATATTCATGCCATCAAAGCATTTCTATCTGTAAGTTGCTTTTCTATATTTTTAATCCCCTTTATTCAACAGGAATAGCAAGGAGTGCAGTGTACCAGAGAATGGGATGAGTGAGGGGAGGAAAAATAGGAAATGAAGTCAGAAAGGTAGCAGGGAGCCAAATCATGTAGGCTCACAAATCATATTTGTATTGGCCTTTACTCTTTTTTTTTTTTTTAAGATTTTATTTATTTATTTGACAGATCACAAGTAGGCAGAGAGGCAGGCAGAGAGAGAGGGGGAAGCAGGCTCCCTGCTGAGCAGAGAGCCTGATGTGGGGCTCCATCCCAGAACCCCGGGACCATGACCCGAGCCTAAGGCAAAGGCTTTAACCCACTGAGCTACCCAGGCGCCCCTTGGCCTTTACTCTTAACAGATATGGGGATCCATTATAGAAAAGAAGAGTGATGTGATCTGACCTGTGTTTTAACATGGTGGTTGTTGGAGAACAGACTATAGAAAAGAAAGGGTAAAGCAGTGTAGAGGAGAAAAAACTTTGCTCGAATCCTCTATTGGGTTAGTGGCCTGTGAATTACAGTGATAATCTTAGCGAGAGAAAAAAGAGCTATGTACATGTGCTACACACATACTGGCAGGATGTTATTCATCATTCAGTGATGAATAACGCAAAGGGATGGTAGAAAATCGGGTTTATTATATACCTTACTTAGTAGGGAAAAGGAAAAAGGAAGAAAAGGTCTTCTAGTTAGGAAGAACAAAGAGGAGATAAGTAAGTTGGTGATAGTACTTGTTTATGTAGTTGCAGAGGTCTTTTTCTTCTTTATGGCCATAAAACTCCCTTGGAGAGAGAATTTATGGCACCCTCATATCCCAGAAGTTTCAGCTTTTAGTCACATGAGGAAACCTCCAAGAAGACTTCTTTCCCTGTATCTGTTGAATCTCAAATGTCTTCACCTTAAAACAATCTTTATACCACCTCTGGGTTCTGCTCGTGTGGCTACAGGAGTGAGACAGGAGTCATTGCATTTAATCCAGCTTAAAAGATGATAGTAGTGGTTTGGACCAGCACGATAGCTAAGGGTGCTAAGAAAGTGGTCACATTCTGGAGATACTTATTTTTTATTATTTATTTATTTTATTCTTAACTATTATTTATTATCTTAAAAATTATGTAGGCTCTATACCGGACTTGGGGCTTGAACTCACGCCCCTGAGATGAAGAGTCGTATGTGCGTGCTACTGACTGAGCTAGCTATGTTTCCCAGGTTCTGGATATATTTTGAGGATAAAGCTGATGTGCTGAGAGTTTGGATGAGAGTTTTGGAAAAAGAGAAAACGTCAAGGGTGACAAGGATTTTGGCCTGAGAAACAGAAAGAATAATAGAGTTGTTACTTACTGAGATAGGGAAGTGACATACAGTAGGACAGCTCTGGTCCACAGATTAAGTAGCTACTATAAAGGCTCAAGAGATAAAACAGTAGGTGGTCCCTCCAAAAGGCACTTACATTTTCATGATACTTACAAACAAATAAATGGGTATATTCATTTGCTAGGGCTAGATTAAAAAGAAAAAAAAAAAGCCACAAACTGGGTGGTGGCTCAAGCAACAGAAGTATGTTGTCTCTCCGTTTCTGGAGGCTGGAAGTCCAAGATTAAGATGCCAGCAGGGTGACACCCTCATCCTCAGCGTGATGAGGCAGAATCTGTTCCATGCTTCTTCCCCAGTTCCTGGTGGTTTGATATTCCTTGGCTTGCAAATCTCTGCCTTTGTCCTCACTTGGTGTTCTCCCTGTGCTGCATGTCTATACCCAATTTCTCCTTTTTATGACACCAGTCATATTTAATTAGGTGCCTGCTCTTCTCCGGTATAACATCATTTTAGCTAATTACATCTGCAATGACTATTTCCAAATAAGGTCACACTCTAGGGTATTTGGGATCAGGACTTAAACATATGAATTTGTGTGTGGGGAGGTGGGGAGATGACACAGTTCAACCCATAACAAACAGTAAGCAGTGACTGTGAGATTATTTGATAGGTCAGAAAATAAATAGAGTTAAGAGTATGAGAATGCAGACGAAATAAATGTAAAGCAATTAATGTCATTGCTTTTTTTTTTAAGATTTTATTTATTTATCTGACAGAGATCACAAGTAGGCAGAGAGGCAGGCAGAGAGAGGGGGGGGAAGCAGGCTCCCCACCGAGCAGAGAGCCTGATGCGGGGCTCAGTCCCAGGACCCTGAGATCATGACCTGAGCTGAAGGCAGAGGCTTAACCCACTGAGCCACCCAGGCGCCCCAGTGTCACTGTTTTTGGCTGTAAAACCTGTTTCTGTCTGCAGCCAGCTATAGACCTCTATTATGGTCTTTTGGTCCAGATTGTAGTTTAGGATTGAAGACTGAAACTGGATGATCAATTTCCGATGGCTCTTGCGGTTACAGATGTTAATGGCTACCATGATATATTGAGCCCCTGCTATGCCAGGCATCATGCCAGGTGTTGTCTGTTCCTGACATTAGCTCATTCTTTGTATAGTAACTGTTCAGGTAGGTGGTGTTATGCCCATTTTTACAGATGAGCAAACTGGGCTTTGAAGCTAAGATGACCGTAGCATCTTATTCCAAATCACACAGAACCATGATGAAGTCCCCCAAGGTGCCATCTATAAAAAGTAAAGACTGGGACCGTACTGTGAGACCAGCATCCCCCATTATTTACATCTGCTTCTGCTGATGATTCTGACTTCACCTGCCTTTGTAATGTGACTTAATGTCATCTTTAAAAGCAATTTGAGCACTTTCCTAATTAAGCCTACATAATACGACTCAAGATTATGCCGTTATCTGAAATGCTCACCAGATATCCAGGTTATTTTTTTTTTTTTCAGTTGAGGTAAAATTAACCATTTTTAAGTGTATAATTCAGTGACATTTAGGACATTCACAGTGTTACACTGTTGTTGATGTCATCACATCTGTGTAGTTCCAGAACATTTTCATCACCCCAGAGAGAAGCCTGATTCCCATTAAGCAGTCACTCTCCATCCCATGTCTCTCCTCCTCCAACCTTTGGAAGCTACTAATGCTTTCTGCCTCTGAATTTACTTATTCTGGTAAGTGAAATACAACATGTGACCTTTGGGTCTGGTTTCTTTCACTTAGCATGTTGTTTTCTAGGTTGACCCATGTTGTACCATGTATTAGTTCTTCATTCATTTTCATGGCCGAGTAATATTCCAGTATATGGCTATATCACATTTTGCGTGTCCATTTGTCACTTGGTGGGCATTTGGGTTATTTCTGCCTTCTGGCAACTATAAATAATGCTGTGTTGAACATTGATGTATGAGCTTTTGTTTGAATACCTATTTCAGTTCTTTTGGGTGTATGTTTAAGAGAGGAGTTGCTGGGTCCAATGGTGGATTCTGTGTTTAAATTTTTTGAGGACTCTCCAGATTACTCTTAAATTGAGCTGAATGGCTCTTGTTATCATTGTATATAAGGGTTTCCATGTAGTGTTACTTGGTGCTATAATACCAGATTTGGTAACTAGGATTACTTAAATAGCAAGTGGAGGTAGATTTTTATGTTGTTGTTAAATAAAATATGCTCTCTGTATAAGTAACATTTATCGGGCTCCTCGTATGTTTTAGGCACTGTTCCGTGTAGCAGTGTCTGAGGGAGGAAGATTCTGTTATTCAGTCTATTTTGCAGATGGAGAAATTAGCTTAGCTTATGTAACTTGCTGAGTTAGAATGACAGAAATAATATTGACTCCAGAACCCATCCTTTTTTTTTTTTAAAGTAGGGTCCATACCCATTGTGGGGCTTGAACTCATGACTGTGAGATCAAGACCTGAGCCAGGATCAAGAGTCAGACACTTGATTGACTGAGCTACCCAAGCGCCCCCAGCACCCACGCTTTTAGCCACTTCCTCCCAGCCACAGCTCTCTCATTTAAAGCCATCAAAGCCTGGTTTGCCTCATCTTCTACTCTGTGACCCTTATGACATGAAGGAGTCCCCTGAAAGAGGTCTCAAATGGCTGTGGTGTGCTCTTTACAGGTTCCCTGCCTTTGCAGCGGTGCATCATGTCTGCTGTGTAGCTGCTGCCCCAATAGTAAGAATTCCACAGTGACGCGCCTCATCTATGCTTTCATTCTCTTCCTGGGCGCTGCTGTATCCTGTATCATGCTGACAGAAGGGATGGAATCACAGCTGAAGAAGGTAAGTAGAAGTAACAGTAGACTTAATGTGCTGGTTATTTGTATTATTTTTGTATTTTGCACAGTTTTAGTTGTGATTGACATTCTTATTTCTTTACCGTTGTAAATCTCAATCAAGTTCATTGTAATTGTTCGGTTTTGACATTACTTTTGGGTATGGTCAAGACATAGAATATGAAAGTTTTAGTCCTTTTCCAAAAATGAGGGTACTCAGAAAGAACATGTTCAAGTTCTACTCTAACAACTGAGAGAAAGATACTCAAAGAACGGCAGGAAAATATTATCTTCCATGTATGTTTCAGATTTAAACATTTCACCTAGACTAGCCCTACACCTGTGGAAGGAATCAGTTGTAGCATGAAAATTCATGGCAGAATGGGAAATAACCACATCAGTAAGAAAAGTAAAGACGAGAACACTTCATTTATATTTGCAAAATGCAAATTGTTAATACTTTTTGGTGCCAAGATTGTAAGCGAATTGGAAGGCAAAGAGAAAAGTCCCTCAGGACAGTCTCGCTCTTGTTGAAGTAGTCAGTTGTATAAAGTCAGGCTTTCTTACGATGGGATAGAATATTTGTTTAAATCTAGATATTCCCGTAACACTGAAATTGCTTTTTCCAGATACCTGGATTCTGTGAAGGGGGATTTAAAATCAATGTGGCTGATAGAAAAGTGGATAAAGATTGTGATGTTCTGGTCGGTTATAAAGCTGTGTATCGGATCAACTTTTCCTTGGCCATCTTTTTCTTTGTCTTCTCTCTGCTCATGTTAAAAGTAAAAACAAGTAAAGATCCCAGAGCAGCTGTACACAATGGGTATGTACATTGATTTTATTATTTACTTGTTAGATTATGGTGTAGATCCTCCCCTTGAGCAGTTAATGTTTCCATCCTGATGGAAGCGGTTAGAGTATTTGAATCAGTGCCTCACATAGATTTCTGACCCATTGTACATGGGAGGTTGTTCAGGTGTCATTTTCAGTTGGAGTTCTGTAGCACAGAGAGGCTGAAGGGGAAAAGGAGAGTCTTGTTTTTTTTTTATTTTATTTTTATTTTTATTATTATTTTTTAAAGATTTTATTTATTTGACAGAGAGAGAAATCACAAGTAGGCTGAGAGGCAGGCGGAGAGAGAGGGGGAAGCAGCTTCCCTGCTGAGCAGAGAGCCCGATGCAGGGCTCCATCCCAGGACCCTGAGGTCATGACCTGAGCCGAAGGCAGAGGCTTAACCCACTGAGCCACCCAGGTGCCCTTGTCCTTTTTTTAAATACCTTTGTTCAAGTTCCTAGATCTTTATCAGACACCTGTGAAACAGTTCAAGGATTGTGCTAGGCACTGCATACACACAAACATGTATACTTTTTATTGTTAAAGGATAAAAATGTATCTGATTTATTAAACAGTGTACAGAAAGATAAACTAGTTATATTTGGGCCATGGATTTACAAATCTTTCGTTTCCCATTCCTGACTGCCCCCAGTTCCCCTTTGACACATAATTCTTACTTGAAGACTGAAGGGAGTTTTGTACACTTTATACGTATTATAATCCTCTTTTTATAGATGCAGTAGCTAAATTTGAGAAAGGTCAAATAAAATGCCTGAGATCTCTGAGCCAGTGAGAGTTGGAGTTGGGATTGAAACTCAGGTTTGTCCAGCTCCAAAACCTGATTCTTTCCACTCTGCCATACAAGGCAGTCTTTAAAGGTCAGGGACTGAAAGGGGCGCCTGGGTGGCTCAGTGGGTTAAAGCCTCTGCTTGATCCCAGGTTCCTGGGATCAAGCTCCGCATGGGGGGTTGGGGGCTCTGCTCAGTGGAGAGCCTGCTTCCTCCACTCTCTCTGCCTGCCTCTCTGTCTGCTTGGATCTCTCTGTCAAATAAATAAATAAAAATCTTAAAAAAAAGAGGGAAGGTATGTGCTATGGGGAAGGTATGTGCTATGGTGAGTGCTGTGAAGTGTGTAAACCTGGTGATTCACAGACCTGTACCCCTGGGGCTAATAATACTGTGTTAATAAAAAAAAATAAAAAATAAATTAATAAATAAAAATAAAATAAATAAAAATAAAAATAAAAATAAAAAAATAAAAATAAATTAAAAAAAGATCATGGACTGAAAGCCAGGTTTGGTCCTAGCTTCGCCAGTGAGGAACTGTGTGATTGTGGGCACAAGGCACTTTGTCCTATGTTGAGAAAGAAGGATTAGGTGATAACTTTTCCCTAGATCCAATAGTTAATTGCTGTGTATGTAGCTAACATTGTTCGTTTAGAATACTCCAGAATTGTAGAAAAATTCCTATCCTTAATCGCTAAATGTAGGGAAATTCCTAAGTTATATGTTTTTCTCTTATTATGTCTATGAATTATTTGTTCTTTGGGCTAATATTTGTCCTTAAATTGTATGAAAGATTGAGTGGGGCAGTTTCATGTCAAATGAAGAAATAAGCCCAGACAGTCATGGTGGGAATGCTACTGAGTCCTTATTTTTGCATTTCGGAAATTAACTTTTCTCAGCATAAGGGCGAAAATTAACATTTCATAAATGTACTTTTATATTTTAATAGGTTTTGGTTCTTCAAAATTGCTGCCATTGTTGGTATCATGGTTGGCTCTTTCTACATCCCTGGGGGCCATTTCACCACAGGTATGGCTCACTACTAAGAAGGCTAATTATATACACACAGTCTACAAATGATGGAGTTGAAGCTACATTTTCTTTACTGGTTTTGCAGAACTGGCAATTAAATGAGGTGGTGTTCAATTATACGACTTCATACTAATATTAAGGGAGTAATTACTTGATTAAACCCAGGAGGCATTCAGCCCATTTTTTTAGCTGTTTTGGAACCATATGTTGCCAATATTTTAATAGTTTACCTCCTCACTTGGCAGTACTAAGTTAATCCGAGAGCTTGTCAACATGGGGACCTGTAACTCATATGTGTTCTACTATCCCTGTCTTAATACACTTTTTTTTACCATAATATCAAGTGACATTTGTGGATTTCCACTGTAATTTTTTTATTCCCTTGTGGAGGGAAAGGCTTATTGTACCATTTGGAATGTCAGCTCCCAGGCTACGCTGGGCACAAGGGAAACAAGCTCTAAAAGGTCTGAAGCCCAGCCTGACTTCTCAGAGAACGACTTTGAGTTCGGAATAATGTTGCTGTACTGCCGGAGGCAAAAGATGTCTTTACCACCTCTCTCTTAATTGAATGGAAATTGTTTTAAAATTGGGTAATAGCATCTGAAATGTTACTCCTATGGTAAAAATAACTTTGTTCTTTTGGGTTCTAGCTTGGTTCATTGTGGGCATGGCCGGGGCCTTTTTGTTCATCCTCATCCAGCTAGTGCTGCTGGTCGACTTCGCTCACTCTTGCAATGAGTCATGGGTAAATCGAATGGAAGAAGGAAATCCAAGGTGCTGGTATGCTGGTAGGTGTCTGAACTCACCTGTAAAAGCCATGCTGCATTATGCTATCTTAAGCAGGATGTACAGTAAACATCTCCATTGATTTAAGTGTGTAAACTTCCAAATTAGAGCTGACTTTTAAAAACTGTAGTCTCCCAGTTGAGTCAATTCTGAATTATATGCATTACCAGAAGGGGGAAGCACAGATTGTAGAAATCATTGGCTTCTCTCAATTCATTTATTTTGCGATTTGTAACATAACTAAATGTGTTCAGATAAGAGAAAAATGTGTTAGTGATGTAGTTCTGGTTTTGATTTCTGCGTTTCCACGGACAGGGAACTCAGGTGCATTATACATTCAGGACATCTGCCCACCTCCCTCAAGCAGATAGAAGGGAACAGTCCTTACTGCTTGCTTTAGAGTATGGCCCACACTCCTTATAAAAGCCTTCTGGTGGAAAAGGGGCACTTAACATTTCTAGGGTGGAAATACAGGATTTATAGCTGGTAATAATGGGGAGGGAATTTGGAATCCTCTACTTATTAGGGGCGATGACCCAGCCATACCTCATTTTAAAAAAGCAATAGTTGTTGAAATTCCTAGCCCCTGCACCCCACGCATTTTAAACGTGATAGCTCCTCTTGTGTCAAGAACTTGAACGACCAAAAATCACAGAAAAAAGCAAATTCCCCGTTACCCAACTCTGTGGTAATTAATACTTACTGTTAACATACTAGTCTGTATCTTTCCAGTCTTTTCTCTTGCATATGTATCTTCTATGTATAGAAAAAAAGTCATTGAAGAAGATGTATACTTGTATCTTTTTTTTCTTTTAAGATACTTGGTTATTTATTTGACAGAGATCACAAGTAGGAGGGGAAGGGGGGGAAGCAGGTTCCCTGCCAAGCAGAGAGCCCGGGACTGGGCTCAATCCCAGGACTCCGAGATCATGACCTGAGCTGAAGGCAAAGGCTTAACCCACTGAGCCACCCAGGCGCCCCTGAATACTTTATCTTACTAATTTTTTATATGTGTTATACATTTGGATAGGTTATAGTTTGACTTTTTTTAAAACCTAGAAGGAGCCTGTGAATATGTGGCAGTAAATACCTAATAATATGTCTCTGAGCACATTTCTGCTTTTTCCCTTAGAATAAATTCCTAAAAGTAGAAGAGTGGAAGGGTATGGTTATTTTAAAGGCTTTTAGTACACATTATCAAACTGTCCAGTTTTCTTTTTTTGTTATTTATCTAGCTTGCTTTTTAAAAAATAACTAAAGCCAAAAAAAAAAATTTAAAAACTAAAAAAATAAAAAATAACAAAAGCAAAGCCAAAAAAACCCCAAAAATGAATACTGTGTTCACCATAAACACAGATAAAAATAATAAAAAATAAAATGTGCAGATTTCCACCCACTTGCAACCCACCTTCCTCTCCAGATGTAACCATGATTACTGGATCTTTATGTATAATTTATGCACATATGCATGTTTTTGTTACTTAGATGTAAATAGGTTCATATAATACATTGTTCCATCACTCGCTCTTCTCACCAACTATATGATGAGTATTTTCTAACATATCTGTGAGTACAGATACATGTTAACTCACTTAATGGTATACAGTTTCATGGGGTTCCATGGTGTGGTATACCCTAAGTTACTTAACCATTGCCCTATTTTGTTGGTCACTTCAGTTATGTATAATGACTCTTTATTTTAGCATGAGATTTAAGAAATCGTTTTATTGTGACAAGTTGGAAATCCTGAAACACCTCCCCATTTTTGACTCATAAAAATTTATTTTTTTAATCTGTTTATTTCCTTTTTTATAATTCACTTGAATCATTCAACTTTAGAAGAATTTAATAATGAGTTGCAGATTTGTCCTCCTTTGAAATAACTAAAAAGTAGAGAAATCTTGCATATTCATTTGGAAAAACATTAAGAACTGTACTAGTACTGTGACATACAATACCATTTTATACCAACATCATATACATCATTTAATTTTAAATATGCAACCGTGGAGGTTATAAGTAGAAACTGGTTTTCTTAAAATTGTGCCTTGAATTAAGTACAGGTTAATTGAGCTCATCATTGCTACAGTTGGTCTGAGTATACTGTTACTCTTCCATGTTTTCTAATCTTCAGAGTTACATAGCTAATTGTTACCTATCCATGTGAACAGAAAGGAATATTATTTTTGAAAATAGCAAATACGCCACTCTCCCACAGTGAGGTGGTCTCATCGGGACAGGAAGCAGGCTTATGTAGCCCGTGGCTGCAGAAGACAAATGACATAAAAGATGGCTGTCTGTTGTTTTCTGCTGACACCATCCCTCGCATTTAGCTTGCTGGAATTGGGCCAGTTTGAGGGCCTACAAGTTTTGCAAGTTCCTAAGAAAAGCTTATAATGCACATTATTTAGCCGAATTTACTCTAGCTTGTTTTTCAGCCCGTGGAATCAAGGTAGATAATCCAGAAAGTGAATCCACTTGCTTGAATTGAACACCAGGCCACCTCTAGCGCTGTCTGAAATGTCATCCTTGGGTCTTCTGTAATTTCCCTGTAAAATGTTGACAACCGTAACAGTAAAATAATGTCTCTATTTTTATGTGGAGTAGAAGAAAATTGGTCTTCATTTGAAAAGTTTGTTACAGTTGTGAGCATTCCTGTGGGTTTCCCTCCTTCCAGCTTTGCTGTCTGTCACCAGCATCTGCTACATTCTGTCTGTCGTCTTTGCCGGCTTACTCTACACTTACTACACCAGACCGGACGGCTGCGCAGAGAACAAGTTCTTCATCAGTATTAATTTGATCCTTTGCTTTGTGGTTTCTATTATATCGATCCATCCAAAAATTCAGGTACAGTTTTCTGCTTTATCCTCCTGTGAAAAAAAATTTTTTTTTTTTTTTAGTATTTGTTCATTTGAGAGAGAACATGAGAGAGAGAGTACAGCAAGGGAGAGGTGCAGAGGCAGATGGAGAAACAGACTACCCGCTGAGCAGGGAGCCCGATGTGGGACTCGATCCCTGGACCCTGGGATCATGACCTGAGCTGAAGGCAGACGCTTAACCAACTGAGCCACATCCTCCTGTGAAAAATTTTTAATTATTGCCAGACTGAAGCTGATGTAATCTTTTATGTGAGTTTATGTTTATCTACTTAAACATTTTCCCATATTATAAGTTCTTCATAATTCTAATTTAGTAACTGTAAAATGTGCCATTGAGCACCTATATCATGATTAAGTGAATAATTTCCCTATCATTAAAAAAAAACAAAACCCTAGGTAACCTGAGAATTTTATAGCTCTTATAAAATAGTTTATGTTAGGAGAATGATTCATACAAATCATGAGCTAAGCTGTTTTAGGGGGATTAAATTAGAAAATCACTGCTTTAAAAAAAAATCATTGCTTTTAATATTAAAAAACAAAACTCATGCATGTGAGTTTCATCATTTAAATACCATACTTTAAAAAATTCATGGAGGTTTTTTTTTAAGATTTTACTTATTTGAGAGGCACCTGGGTTGCTCAGTGGGTTAAAGCCTCTGCCTTCGGCTCAGATGATGATCCTAGCATCCTGGGATCGAGCCCCGCATTGGGCTCTCTGCTCAGTGGGGAGCCTGCTTCCCCCTCTCTGTCTGCCTCTCTGCCTACTTGTGATCTCTGTCTATTAAATAAATAAATAAAATCTTAAAAAAAAAAGATTTATTTGAGAGAGAGTGCAAGTGGGCATGAGCTGGGGGAGGGGCAGAGAGAAAGGGAGAAGCACACTCCCCGCTGAGCAGGGATCCTGATGTGGGGCTTGATCCCAGGACCCTGGGATCATGACCTGAGCCAAAGACAGATGCTTAACGACTGAGCCACCCAGGTGCCCCAATTCATGAAGTTTTAGATGAGAAATACGAAAAGAATGTAGAACACCTCTCCTTTCAAAAATGAGAAAACTGAAGTTGCAGAGAGATGATGGTCACTCAGCTGGTTAGCACTGCTGTGGAGCTTTGCTTCTACAACTAGTAGGGACGAGTGAATCAGCCTCTGCGGGATACTCGGGAATTCCAGGGCTGTCAAATGCCTCAAGAACCACTAGTACGCAGACCTCTTTCTTGGTTCTTTTTCAGGTTAACTCAGATTGAAAGATTACTTACCCTCTTTGAACTGTCAATTAGAATCAGAAGGTTCTCAGTTGTTCATATCTCAGGGCGGGGCGGGGGGTGTTGGGGAGAGGCCAGGGACGTCCGCTGGGTTTTAGAAAGTCAGCCTTGCAGTTCCCATGGCATTGTTTTCTTTTTGATTCCACAGGAACACAGGCCTCAGTCTGGTCTCCTGCAGTCCTCTGTCATCACTCTCTACACCATGTACCTTACCTGGTCAGCCATGACCAATGAACCGGGTAAGGGAATGTCAGTAGTACATGCACTTGATTGAGAGAAAGTAGGAAATCACTCTTCCGGCAGGTGCAAACACTGGAGGTAGAACAAATGGCAAATAGGAGAACACACAAAAGGCTTCGCTTAAATGTATGGTGCTCATCGTATGATGCAGATACTCGCGTTTCAAGTTTTATTCTCCATGTCTGTCCGTAGCTCTTCATAGCTGACAGCCTAAAGGACCGCAGTCTTTATACAGTCTAGGCTTTTCCCTGGACTAAGTCAAACTAGTTAAGAATTGGACAAGGCAACGTTGTTTTGGCCCTTTGTGGCATTGTTGTAATTGAATTTCACTTTGGTGTTACAGGCTCTAGAGGAAATGGCTGAAAGAAGTTTCCCTTTATAATTACTGCATTGTGTCTCACTCAGTATGGTATTCTACAGACTTGTTTTAAAGGAAAACGGTTATTCCAGATCCTCCAACGATGACTCACTTACTGTTGTTGTACTCTCTAACTATAAAAACAAAACTAGGGAAAATTTCCCTATGGTTAAAGCCTTTGTACAACTACAGACCCAAAAAGATTTGCCAGTTAAACTTCAAGATCAGTAAAATCAGGATTGACATTCATGAATTTGGCAAGTACTTTGTTGTCGTGTCTTTTGTTTTTTCCTTAAACTATGTCACTGATTGCCACACAAATATGTGTAACTAGTTGCTGAGTTTCCAGATTCTTTTAAGTATGGCATCCCCGTGTTTTACATCATGACTGACTGATGTGTGAACCCTTCCCTCACGTCCTTTCTCGGAACAAGAGGAGTTCTAACTAAGGACAGTAAAAAATATCCCACTTTCAGATCGTTCCTGCAACCCTGGCCTGTGGAGCATCGTCACGCAGATGACTGCGCCAACCTTGGCTCCTGGGAATTCAACTGCTGTGGTCCCTACCCCTGCTCCACCCCCAAAGAGTGGGCATTTTGTAGATGCAGAGACGTTCATTGGGCTGACAGGCTTTGTTCTCTGCCTTTTGTATTCTAGGTAAGTTAAAAAGTACTTGGGACAAGATTCTCATGAAGGTTAAACGTAGAGCGAAGAAGCTATTTTGCTTTCAGAAAGCAGTGTGAGGGATTGAGAAAAAGAACTTAACTCCTTATTATTATTATTAATTAATTTATTTATTTTTAATTTATTTATTTGACAGATCACAAGTAGGCAGAGAGGCAGGCGGGGGGGTGGGTAGGGGGGAACAGGCTTCCTGCTGAGCAGAGAGCCCAATAAGGGGCTCGATCCCAGGACCCCGAGATCATGACCCCAGCCGAAGGCAGAGGCTTTAACCCACTGAACCACCCAGGCGCCCCTTAACTCCTTTTTAGTGAAAGCCCCCTACTTGCTTCATGTCCCAAGTCGTACATATTTCTTAAAGCCTAATAAATGTTCTCATCAAATACTTCCTTCCAGACTGACATAGAGATACCATCTCCCTGGATAGGATAAAGTCTTCACCTGACCCCACATCGGCTAGAGTAGTGACTCTGAAAATTGGTTGGTTTCTCTTTTTTTGTAAAAAGGTCTTAATTTCCTGATCATTGTAAAAAATACTTAGAAAACTACAGAATTCTATACATCTAACTTTAAAATCTCTAGTTAATCCAGGGCCTCAGATAGAACCTGTGTTAGCACTTTGCATTCACCATCTTGCCCATTTTTTATTGATATTTTCTGTATAATGGCACATATTCCTTGAATAATTTAAAAATATGAGATAAAAATGGACAAGGGTGAGCATATATTTATATAAATTAATAATTGAGATAAGTCTGAAGTGGGAATTGAAAGTAGCCTCCCTCCAAATTTGCTTCTTCCATGGTTAAGCATTTTGGTACATATTATTTGATACTTTTTTCCTTCACTTACACTTAACTACCTTATTTATCAATTTGAATTTGTGTAATTATACATAATTTTATTTACAGTTATATGTGTAATCTTATTTATATCACTTGATAAATAATTTTTTAAAAATAGGAACGTACTATACATATATACAGTATTCTCAAATATGAATTTGTCATAATTTGGACAGCTTTGCACAGTATGTGTAGATTTATCTTTTTTTTTAAAGATTTTATTTATTTATTTGACAGAGATCACAAGTAGTCAGAGAGGCAGGCAGAGAGAGGAGGAAGCAGGCTCCCCACTGAGCAGAGAGCCTGATGCGGGGCTCGATCCCAGGACCTTAGGATCATGACCTGAGCCGAAGGCAGAGGCGTTAACCCACTGAGCCACCCAGGTGCCCCTTTAATGAGTGTTTAAAAGAAAGATTGGCAAACTGTAGGCCTTGTAAATAGAGTTGTATTGTAATACAGCTATGCTTACGTGTTTTTACATTGTCTGTGACTTTGCTTGTTTTGCGTTTGGCCTAATGTGTTTTGTTTTGTTTTTGAGATACAGTTTCCATACTATAAAATCACCCTTTTAAGGTGTACAGTTCAGTAGTAGTTTAGTCTGTTCACAGGATCATGCAACCACCACCACAGTACATTTTAGAAGATTTTATTTTGCCAAAAAGAAACCTCATGTCTCCTTAGCAGTCACCTCCCTATGCCTTCCCACTCCAGCCACTGGCAGAAACTTGTCTCTCTAAGCTTGTCTCTTATTTATTCAAGTGTTTCATATATGTGGAATTGTAAAACATATGCTCTCTTGTGACTGGCTTCTTTCACTTAGTATGTTTTCAGGGTTCATACATGTTATATCAGTACTTAATTCCTTTTCATTGTTGGAAAGGAGGCTCCATGGTGTGGATATATACCACATTTTGTTTATCCTTTGTCAGTGGATAGACACTTGGGTTGATTTCACTGCAGAACTGTCATGAATAATGATGCTGTGAGTTTTTGTGTACAGGTTTGTTTTTTGTTTTTTTTATAAGATTTTATTTATTTATTTGAGAGAGAATGAGTGAGAGAGAGCATGATAGAGGAGAAGGTCAGAGGGAAAAGCAGACTCCTCGAGGAGCTGGGAGCCCAATGTGGGACTTGATCCCGGAAGTCCAGGATCATGACCTGAGCCCAAGGCAGTTATTCAACCAGCTGAACTACCCAGGCGCCCCTGTGTACAGGTTTTTTGTGTGGATGTACATTTTCAGTTTTCTTGGATCTGTACCTAGTGTAGAATTGCTAGACTATGTGGTACCTCTTTTGAAAACTGCGAATGTGTTTTCCAAAGTATCTATATCATCTTCCAGTCCCACCAGCAACATATGAGGCTGCTGGTTTCATCACCTCTTAACTGTTAGATCATAATTGTTTTTTTATTGTAGCCGTTCTAGAGAATGTGAAGTGGCATTTCATTATGGTTTTAATTTGGGTTTTCCTCATGACTAGTGATGTTGAGCATTCTTTTCATGTGCTTGTTAGCCACTTGTGTGTCTTGAAGTGATGTCTATTTAAATCTTTTGCCTATTTTTATTTTTATTTTATTTATTTATTTTTTTAAAGATTTTATTTATTTATTTGACAGACAGAGATCACAAGTAGGCAGAGAGGCAGGCAGAGAGAGAGGAGGAAGCAGGCTCCCCGCGGAGCAGAGAGTCCGATGCGGGGCTCGATCCCAGGACCCTAGGATCATGACCTGAGCCGAAGGCAGCAGCTTAACCCACTGAGCCACCCAAGCGCCCCTTTTGCCTATTTTTAAATTGGGCTGTCTTTTTATTGTTTTGTATATGGCTTGGAGTATGGGTACAACTTCATTCTATTGTAGTGTGGATATCTAGTTGTCACAGCACCGTTTGTTGAAAAGAATATTCTTTCCCCCATTGCTTTGTCTGGTGTCCCTGTCAAAAATCAGTTGAACCTAAATGTAATGGTTTATTACTGGATTCCTAACTCCATGTCATTGATCTGTATAGGTATCCCTATGCCAGTACCACACTGTTTTGATTACGGTGGCCTTGTAGTAAGGTTTGAAATCAGAAAGTATCGAGATTTGTTCTTTTTCAAGATTGTTACGGTTATTCCAAGTCCCTTGCATTTCTGTGTAAATTTTGGGTTTTGCTCGTAAGTTTAATTAAGATTTGGTAAGGATTGCATCGAATCTGTTCATCTTTTGGGCGTTACTATCTCAGCACTATTAAGGCTAGTTCATAACATGGGATGTTTCATTTGGTCTTCAGTTTCCTTCAGTGGTAATGTAGTTACTAGTGTACAAGTCTCAAACATGTCTTGTTAAATTTCTAAGTGTTGTTTTTGATAGTTATAAGTGAGATTGTTTTCTTAATTTATCTTTCAGGTTTTGCATTGTTACCGTATAGACATGGAATTTTTGTATATTGATCTTGTATTCTGGAAGATCATTTATTGATTCTAATAGTGTGTATATTCCTTAAGATTTTCCATGTATAAGGTCTGGTTATTTGCAAATAGAGATCATTTTACTTCTTTTCCAATCTGGATGTCTTTTTTCTTTTCCTTGCCTAATTGCTCTGCCTTGAACCTCCAGTACAACATTGAGTAGAAATGGTGACAGTGGGCTATTTGTCTTATTCTTGATCTCAGGGGGAAAGCTTTTAGTCTTTCACTATTTTTTAAAAATATTTTATTTATTTATTTGACAGAGAGAAAGATCACAAGTAGGCAGAGAGGCAGGCAGAGAGAAAGAAGGGAAAGCAGGCTCCCTGCTGAGCAGAGAGCCCGATGCGGGGGCTCGATCCCAGGACTCTGGGATCATGACCTGAGCTGAAGGCAAAGGCTTTAACCTGCTGAGCCACCCAGGCACCCTAGTCTTTCATTATTAAATGTGATGTCACCTGTGGGTTTTTCTTAGATGCGCTTTATCAGTTTGAAGAGGTTCTCTTCTGTTCCTAGGTCGAGTGTTTGATAATCAGGAAAAGGTATTAGATTTTGGTCAGGTGATTTTTCTTTGTCTGTTGAGATGATTATGTGGTTCTTTAGTTGTATGTACTTTATTCAGTCATTTTAACTGAGTTGAGCTCTAGGACTAGCAAGAAAGACAGGAATGCTAAGTATGGCAGAGGGGAGCAGAAGGAGCTGTGGGATTTTAACCCAGTGTAGTGATGACTCGATGCCAGGGAAGGCTTTCTAGAAGACATAGCACATAGAGAATTGAAGAATGAGGCTCACTGGGAGAAGGCTGGTGGGTGGTCCATTCCAAGCATAGAAGAGACTTGTGAAGTCACGGAAGCAGACATGGAGAGCACGATGAAACTCCTAAGCAGTTAGCCATTAAATGGTAACCAATGAGAGTGCTCTCTGTCTTGTGATGACAAGCAGCAGTTGAGAACTTTAAGCAGAGCCCTTCAGAAGGCCTTCAGTCCCCAGATTGTCCATGGTGTGGATATATACCAGTTCAGAAACAACCTGCATGTATATAGGCCAATGGTAGCGATTCATCTCATGGCCCCTTGCTGATCCGTCTTCTCTCGGATCACTTTCCAGTATCCGTACTTCCAACAACAGCCAAGTAAGCAAGCTGACTTTGTCAGGAAGTGACAGTGTGATCCTCCGTGATACAGCTGCCAGTGGCGGCAGCGATGAAGAAGACGGGCAGCCTCGGCGGGTTGTGGACAACGAGAAGGAAGGAGTGCAGTACAGCTACTTCTTATTCCACTTCATGCTCTGCCTGGCTTCCTTGTACATCATGATGACCCTGACCAGCTGGTACAGGTAGGAGGCACGGACAAACCAGATGGAAGACCACTTGACACCCCGCCCCCCCGTGGGCTGCCTGTAAAATCTACCTCCATTGCTTGACCTCAGAATCCCCTTCATTTACCTGTAGAGTGAAGTTGTGTTCAGTGTGGACTCTTTTCTGAAATACTTTTGACTTTCTCTCCTTTTGAATTTAAAATCCAGTTGGAATTCATGTTATTTATTTATTTGCCAGAGGAGAGGGAGAACAAGCAGGGGAAGCAGGCTCCCCGCTGAGCAAGGAGCCCAGTGCGGGACTTGACCCCAAGATGCTGAGATCATGACCTGAGCTGAAGGCAGATATTTAACTGACTGAGCCACCCAGGGGTCCTTAGTTGAAATTCTTAGAGTACGAATCATGGAGAATTCTTCTAGACTTGAGTTACTTAAGAGAGAAAATCATAACATAAAGCAGTCTGACCCATTTTTGTTCATGAATTTTCCCTTGTGTCTAGAGATGGCCATATGGAGTATTCTGGTCACAGTAATGATGTGATAAGGAAAGTTTCAGGGACGTCATTTCAATCTAGACTTTTGCCAATACCTAGAACAGCTAGGTATTCCTGAAGAGCTTTGCTCAGCAAAGAGTTCTTCTTGCTGGTAAGATTAAAGCTTTTTGAGAGGCAGAATCCCCTGCACATGAAAACTAATAATAGCAGCTTTCATAAGTTCCTTCTAGAACCTTACTAGAGTGTAGTGTTAGCCAACTTTCTTTGCTTTTGCTGGGGGGTGCTACTGGATGCTGCCAACAGGCTCTTACCTGACCATCTTCTGCTTACTTAGCCCTGATGCAGAGTTCCAGAGCATGACCAGCAAGTGGCCAGCTGTGTGGGTCAAGATCAGCTCCAGCTGGGTCTGCCTCCTCCTCTATGTCTGGACCCTTGTGGCTCCACTCGTCCTTACCAATCGTGACTTCAGCTGAACCTCTGAGAATTCATAAAGGTCTGCTTTGCTGAAAGCCCTTACCTGTTTTACTTTTGCTTCAACTAAAATATTAAGTGAACACTTCGCAAATTTGACTGTATCCAAATTTATATCAGCAAGATTAAGTAATGCTTGATGCAGGATCTGAACTTTTCATTTATATGTATATTATGTTTATTTGTAAGGATATAGCGCAAAGGGAACATTTTGCGTTTTAAAGTGAACTACAGCTGTGCTGTGAAGAGACTTCTTTATTAAGATCTGTAGGATCCTACAACTTTGATTTAAAATGTAAGAGAAATGTTGGATATTTGAAGCCAATCGTTAATATATTTCTATTGCAGTCTCCTTAAAAAGCAAAGAACAAAAACAAAAAAACCCCCACCATTTCTATGACAGGTTTCCTCTGTGTTCAGTCCTTCATCCCCCATGAAGTGTAGCATCGGAGTATGGGGTGGGGGGGAGGGGTGGGTTGCGTGCTGCTGGCTCCTTCCCCAGAAGAGCAGGGTGGCTGATCGGGCTACGGCTTCTACAGCTTGAGTTCATCCGTCCGGTGTTGGACACCACAGCAGCGATGCCGCGCAGTCCAGCTTTGCCAGACGTGTCCGTCTCCATAAGCGCTTTTGTAGGTTTGGCGAAAATGAAAAGTCACTTGGGAAAACAGTGCCACTTTGGTCTATATCGTTCTCTTGTTATGAGTATGTAAAATGCATGTGAATTTATTATATTTGCACTATAAAGGTATTTGATTAAAACAGAGACTTAAGCTTTTAAGCCCCTTTCTTTTACAGCTTTTATGAGTCAGCAGCCATTCTATGAGTTTTAGACATTTATGCGCAGTCAGGTTTATCAGGGATGGAGCAGAATGTGCCTGTCTCTTCTAAAACTTGAGGTCTGGCTAGTAAGTAAAGTCTTGAACTTGTCCAAAAATTGTACTCCTGATACCTTGCCTGGGGAAGACACTTGCGTATATGAAACACAAGGCAGGCGCTGTCAGGAAACTTTGTCAAGAGAGGGTAGCCCACAAGGATGTCGACTAGAACAGTTTGTTCTCTGAGCACACATTTATCGAGTGTCTGCTCTGCACCCGGCGCTGTCAGGTTCAGGGCTCCAACGTTAAACACAAGATACCAGCTCTGCCATCTTGGACTTAGAGTTTAGAGGAGGGTGAAGATGAGCGGACAGGTGTACAGCCTGGTGTGGTGAGTGCTGGGATTGAGGAATTGCAGAGAACTTAAAGGAGAGTTGCCTGGGGTTGGGCTGGGGGGATTGTCCTGGTAGGCTTCCTGGAAAAAGTGGAATCGGAGGCCAGGAATTGTTAGGAGTTTCCCGAGAGAGAAATGGGGCAGAGGGCTGGCATTGCTACAGGGTAGACAGAACTTCACGTTAAAGGAAGGGGATGCAGACTTGTTCAGGAAAGCTGGAATAGGGAGAAGAGGGCAGGACCGGGTCATGAAGGGCTTTGCAAACCACAGCGAAGAGTTTGAACCCTAGTTGAGAGCAGCAGGGAGCATATTGATGGTGACATGAACACACGGTCTTCAGTCACTGCAGCAGACACGGAGAGAGGGCGTTGAGAGAGGAGACCAGGGCAGGCCATACCCTGCTTCAAACAAGAGAAGTGGAAGTGAGGATGGGGAGAAACTGACAGCTGAGAGCTACTTAGTAATTAAAATGTAAAAACTGGCAATTGATTAGCTGTAGGGGAGAGGCCGATTCCTGAGTGATGCTGGTTTAATCACCTGAGTTGATGAGGCTTCCGTTTGTATGGTGAGAGACAGAAACACATTGTGCCAGAAGGATGGAGTTGGTCTCTTAAGAATGGCTGAGAACATGGTCTTGGAAGCCAGACCCAGTTTGTAGCCAGCATTGCTTTTTCTGTCTGTTAACTGGTCGGCTAATATTTATTGAGTACATATTATGCCTTATGATCTTGGGCAAATGATTGTGTGACCATCTGTCTGAGCCTCAGTGTTTGCCTTGTTTGAATAAAAGTTAGTACCTAGTACATGTTATTGTTTAAAGAGTTAAGTTACTTTGCAAAGTGCTTAACCCATTTTAAACACTCTGGTGGCAGCTGCTAATCTCACTGTGGGTTAAAATGACACTAGACAGTATTCAAAGGTCAGAGATGTTCAGCCACAGTCGGATGGAGGCTACATTTGAGGTGTTCATACAGAATTAAAGAGATGGGACACAGAGGAGACAGTCTCAGTTGGGATGGAGGTGGGTGGGGTAGGGAAGCAGGACTTGGTACGAATCATTGGAACCACCTGTTTTAAACCAGTGCTTTAGGCCAGGGTACAGAGATAAAGTTGCAGGGGAGGTGGGGCGTGGTGCAAATAGGAGAGGCTTAGCCCCTTACTTTGCCAGCGTAAAGCAGATACCCCCCCCCCACTTTCCTTAATGGCAGGGTAGCCAGATTAAGACCTTTAAAGGCCGTAAACTTCAGAAACAATGAGGGTTTTCCATCCCCTACCTTACGTAATGCAAAATAAAGCAATACTAAACTGTAAAATAAGTGTAACAAAGTCCAATAAAGTATTTTTTTCTCATAACTTTTGATATTAATTTGAAATAACAAAATTTCTTTGAAAATTAGGGGACAGTATCCCTGTTTGCTGGACTGTATTCTAAGTTAAGTTGGGTCTGTTGCTAGGAAACCCAGGATTACTCAAGACTCAAGGGAACCATACTCAGGAGTGCTGAATTACTCATGAGTATACACAGGTAACATCAGCAGGTCGACCAGGAGAGTATCTGGACTCATCAGACCTTGTGGTGTCCTCTCATTCCAGATAAGTCATCTGGTGTTTCATCACCAGGAATGGGCCTGTCTGTCCCTCAGGATTGCAGATTGACAGCCTGGCTTTGAGGTTAGTGATACGGTCTAGGAATTCATCAGAGGCAACAGCAGTGGCTGCTACGTTTACCTGGTTGGAGCCAGCTGGGAGAAGGCTTGTAGGCCCATGTGGCCCCTGCCAGATGTTTACTCTCTGGACTGGTCTTGTAAAGTAGTTGGTTGGGAAATAAAAGCTTCTCTTATCCATCAAGGATCCTGCCAAAGAATGGCCATGGACCTGTTTATCGCTGCTATTGATGTTCTGGACAAAGCTGTACACCAGCACGTGTTTTTGTCCATTACAAGTCCTTTTCCTTTTCATGCATCCAAGTGAGAGTGTTGTTACATGAGTCATGGTTCAAGCTCTACAAATTGATGATGGGCGCCAGGCTTCTCAATGAGAGCTGCTGCTCCTTTCTTTTATCCTTTCTTGTTGTTCTGTCCATCCGGTTACCTAGGAGCTCAAACCAGGGAGCCTTTCCAGTGGCGTCCTAATCACTGCTGAGTGACCTGAGCTGCACGCGACCTCCTCAGGTGAAGAATAGCAACATGAGACAGTGCGTGTGCCCAGCTGTGCCTAGACGCTGTCCATGCCCCAGAAGGTGGGGCGGCTTCTCCCCCTTTGACAGATCAGACTGAAGCTTAGAGGAGTCAGGAACTTGCCTGTAGTTACTCAGTAAGAGGCAAAACAGAAATAAACCAGGCCTTGAGAGTTCCTTTTTCAGTTAGCCTCCATTGTCTCTTGGCATAAGGTTATAGGCACCAAGATAACTGGAGACTGCTTAGGCACGAGCTGTCAGACTACCCCTCAGCAACGAGGGAGGATAAGCAATCCCCCTGAAGGCAGTAACGACTAGGTCACTTTCTCTAATGGCTGGCCCCTTATTAGGTAAGAGGTGGAATATTTGGTTAAAACGGTGTGTTTTCGGAAAAGTGGCAACCGTAAAGCATTTTCTTCCTCACCATCTTCGAACGCAGTGGCAGGACGCAGGTGCTGCATCAGGTACAGGCGGGCTGGCCCAGTGCCGTGTGAGGAGAGGGCATTGGGGAGAACAGGTGTTTCAGAAAACAGACCAGAGAGCGTGGACTCATAACATGGGAAATACCTCCCACGGTTTATAAACAAAAGCATTTGCTGATCCTTGGGACTCTGCTGCGCCGGTCGGAGCCGGTAGTCGTTTTCCCAGATGCGGAAATGGACTGAGTTTAGGGCTGCAGCTTCCTCAGGAAGGCTGAGCGGAAGAGCTGGCGTGTCGCACTGTAAGGACTAACCTGCCACGTCACCAGAGGTCAGCGGTAAGTGTATGGACGTCCTGCATGAGACCTCCTCCGCTGACCCACCGCCAACACGCCAGACCCACCGTGGCGCCTAGCTTGTGCCTCCTGTGGGGAGACCACACGCTCCTGTACAGAAGCCAGCAGGGAGCAGGTAGAGGAACAGCTAAGCATGTGTGGGACCAGAGCGGATCAAGCCAGACCCAGTCATCCCCCCGGGAGTCTGGTTTCCTTGTGTTTCCAGAATAAGATGTTCTCAGAGGTTAAGAACCTCTGCTTTATATTTTATACGAAGCCAGGAAACGATCTAATTTTTAGACTGTCGCCCTATAAAAAAAAAAAAAACTCTTCCCTTCTTTCTTTCTGTGGTCTGTCGGAGGGTGAATGACAGTTAAAGGCAAACAGCCTGGCTCTAACCATCAGGAGAAGTCAGGCTGGAGTCTGACCGACTACTTGGCTTTGGAGCCGAGCTCCGCACGTGACCTTGGGCGAGCTGCTGAGCTTCTCCGGACCTCATTTCCCCCGCAGGGGGCAGTAATGCCATTTAAGATGAAACGAGGTTCGCTACATGAAGCACCTAACACAATGGATGCCTAGCCCTTAAATGCCCCTGGGAGCTGTTCGCTGTGAAGGATTCAAGGCCAGTCTAGAAGGGACAGCTGGGCCTTAAGAACTGAAAAATGCACCTGTCGTCTCTACCACTGTGTAGACCCATTGCTGTTCTTCGTATACGCTGGCATCTTCTAATGGTGTGTGGTCCTCAGAGGCGGCCAGCCCAGGCCACAGGTGCACGGTGTTGCCGCAGGGCCTCTCCTTGCCTGACCTGGAGTGACGCTCTACCCGGGCCTTCATGTACCGTGAATAATAAAACTTCGGAACCTTGATCCAAACTGTCATTGTCACAAAAGGACTCCACACATAACCTTACAGGGATTTTTATTAAGACCCAGTCATGCATTCTAAAATTACATGTTTTCACCACTTTGACTTAGAAAATGCACTAGAAAAATAAACTTTTGGTCAAACACTGAAGTTAGATGAATCCACCACCACGTGTCTGTATACTCAGAGCTAAACTGAGTCAGTCTGAAGCGAGGAATGTGACCAGTGGCTGAAATGGTGCCCCAGTCTGGTGAGAAAGTGAGCTCGACGCCCCCCCCCCCCCCGGTCAGAGTGGGATCAGAGGCTCCTGGCCCCGAGTGGCTTCCCACGTGATGTGCCAAGAGAGGGAGGCACAGCCACAATCCCCGACAGCGGCTGACCTGCCCAACTAAGTGAGCCGCCCAGTGAGGCCTCAGGAGAAGTCGAGAAATGGCACACAGTTCATCAATAGCATCTCCGTCTGTGAGTCTCACGGGGCCTTCCTGTGGCACAAGCTCTGTTAAGGAATCTCTGACGATTCCTGTCACTTGGCATTTCGAGCAAACCAATTCTGAGTCGGGAAAGCAGAAAGGAATTTACTTTAGATTTACAAAGTTAATAGGAATAGGCCCCAATACTGACAGACATCACCCGATGGACTTCCCTCCGGAACAGTTGAGATGCTTCTGTTTGGTGTCTCCGCAGAGCCCCAGAACAGCCACACTTGCACCGTGGCCTCTGCTAACACTTCACTGCCTCGATGAAAGAACAGGCTTCAAAGGTAAATCTTAACAGCTAAAAACTTTACAATGAAGTATTATAATAATGCCACAGCTTTTGCCTGCCCAAGGGGAAAAGTAATCCCATGACTGATCTGAGAATCCGGTGGCATTTAAAGAAACTGCCCAATGGGAGAATTCAGAACGGCTCAGTGTCTCATAGGAATTTGGGGAAAATACCTCTCATTGTCTTCTCAAGTTCGGCAAAAATGTAGTATCTTACTAGCTGAAGTGTCTGTAAACCTCTAGAGACAAGTGGGTCCTTGTGAAAGCGAGATGAAGCTAAAGCCACTTCTGCCCAAAGCAAGTAAGCTCGGGAGAGGAAGCCAGGGTTGCACAGATGTTTCTGTACATTTTTTCCGGCCTGTCTCCGTGAAGGTAGAACAGGATTCTAGGAAGAGGCACAATGTCCCAGATTCTGTACAAGAGAAGAGGGAGAAAACCCCCATATTACCTAAGCTTACAGATTCACTTGGGAGCAATTGATTCAGACCTACATCGCCTATAAAATAACCCAGATTGGGGGAAGCGGGGGAGAAACAGGCCTCTAAAAGGTAGAGTACAATGTCCTTGTGGAAGTAAAGCCAAATGATGCCTAAAACAGGGGTCGGAGCTCAGAGTGGGGATCCCCTTAGCATGTGATTCACGGGTGGTCAGTGGCTTATTCAAGGCCACACAGCAGTGTAAAGCCAGAGCTCCGGTCTCCTGGTTGACTCCTTTCCCTTTCCTGTTCCACAGTACCATGAATTTAGGGAAAAGTTACTTTTCAGGTGTTCGTGAAATGGGCCAGACCTTCTCCCTGAAGGAGAGCACTCCCGGTTCTCCCGATGCTCGCTTGTTTGCCCCACTGGTGTACCCCCGCTCCCGAGCCAGGCTCCCCGTGTGCTCGCTCCATCATCCCACCACCCTGCTGGGGCAGCTCCACACAGACACCTGGTAAAGCCGCACGGAAACCGCCTTGATTTTCACTCAGGGAGCTCCTGCTTTCACGGCCCGGTCTAATCCTCCTGAGGTGTCCAAACTATTTGATCTCCCTCTGGAACCAAAACCAAGCCCAGCAGCTGCAGGAGGCAAACAGATCTTGGCTCTGACTCAGAAGCTGAATGAAACTGCTCCCTGGGCCACCTGGAAGACCCTAGGAAACGGGCAACGTCCCGGTCTTGGAGATCCTTGTCTAGGTGAGCTTACACACACGCAAGCTTTTCAAGTCAAGGGACGTGGGCCACACGGGCCAGGAACGCAGTGCAGCGTGTAAACGGGAAACTTGGTGGGGCTGACCGGTCCCTCTCTCCCTCTGTCTAGCTTGGGGGTGGTGGGGAATCTCTCCTTCCTCTCTGAGGTCTGAGAACACCTCTAACCACTTCCCACATCCAAGCAGTTGGGTTCTGAACCTTCTGCTTGAGCCATCCTGCTGGTGCTGTCAAGATCTTTGCAGCAGAGCCAGTCATGCTGTTCCTGGCAGACGGAACTGAGGGCTGCCATGCGCCCGCGTGCTGGCACTTACAGCCCGGCGTGGCCCCTAGAGGATCCAGGGTTGGTACCCATAGGGCAGAGCGTTCCTGGACTTGGCACTGATGAGGTGAGTCATTTCCACCTGCTCCAGGCATTTTAAACAGCGTATGAGGATGACGAGCTTATTCACAGTAGCCGGGCCTTTGCCTTTCAGAGCGCTGCCCTCCTCCTCACAGACCGCCCCCTTGCCTGCCGGTTTCAGAAATGCATGAATTTTTAAGGAATTAATATGAAAGGAAATAGGTCAAAAGCCACCAGAAGAACCACCTAGTTCGATGGTTGGGCTGAAGGCTGTTCTGACAGGAAGGGTCTGAGGTGCTGACAGGCAGAGCTAACATTCGGTCTCGCTGGCTAGACGAGTCCGTGCACCCGTACGAGAGAGAGAGAAATGCAAGTGTGTCTGGGAGGACAGGGGCCCCAGAATGATCTGGCGATAGCACGCACTTACATTCATTTCCAGAGACCAAAATCTAAGAATCCCAAGTAATTAGCCATTCCCTGCTGCCAGCTTTCCAGTGTACGGCCAGAGCCTCAGGGATAGAAGGAATTACACAAACCTTGGTCATCTCACCTGCCCTTTTCCAGTTTAACCCACCCTACAAAAAGAAGTTGGTTATCGCCAGGTCCCAAGAATATACATACACTTTCCTTAAAGGCAGGGCCAGATGGTGACACATGCCTCTTGGAAAGGCCCAGGTGTACCACAAAAAAGCGGGACCAACCACTTGCCTCTTTGAGAGCCATGAGAGAGCCATTTGAGAGCCATCTAGGCAGAAAACAAATGCCTAGCATTCAATGACTAAACCAAATCCCAGAACGTCAGCCAAGGCCCTAGGTGTCATTTCATCCAGCTTCATTTTACAGATGAGAAGGGTGAGGCCCACAGAGGTCCAGGTCTTGTCTACAGTCCACACTTGTGAGGCTGGAGCCCTGGTCTCTTCATTCTTGGGCCAGGATTCTTTCAGCTCCTCGGGCCTGGCGTCTAGCGTTTTAGGTTAAGTAGAATCACATCCCTCTAGGATCCTGTATGATTGTACTGAGAACCAGGGCTAAGGCTTTGTGGGTTTGGGAAAACTTCTGTTTTCCCAAAGGTTCCCAGAGGTTCTCTGATGCCTCTGGCTCCCAAATTTGATCAGGAGGTGCTGCTTATGTCCTGATGCTCCCATGAGTCCAATAAGGTGCTTTCCAAACCCAGTGTGGCAGCTGGGGTCTGCGCCTCCAACTAGAAACTTCCTGGTGAGCAACCCAAGCCTGTCGTTAGGGTTCAGATGAAAGACACGAACTCCTGAAGTCTCCTGTGTGGCCATCCTGTAGGCACAGCCAGGTTCTTTCACAGGAGTGTGCTGACCGGCCAGTCAGGTGGTTTTCTCCTGGAATGGGGGACCAAAGTGATTTGATCCTGATTTCTCTTGTTCCAAGATCTCCAAGAACCAGATACAGCTTCCAGGTTAGTGGCTGCAAACTGGGATTCCAAATGTTTGGGAATCACTGGGGACATCTTCCGTGTCTTCCATGGATTAATTCAAGTCACCAAGGGCTTACCCCAGGGCTCACCCTCAGACTCTACAGGCTTTAATTTAATTACAAGGAGCAAGACAGACTCCACGGCACCTCAAATTCTCCTTGCGTCTCTCCAAAGATAAAGGAAAGGATTTCACGAGGGTGGCACTCACAGGGACTGGCTAATAGCAGGAGTAGAGCTGGGACTTCACGGCCCGCAGGGAATCATCACACTGCGCGTCCGAGGTCAGCCCCTCAGGCGGGAGGGCCTGGCCCAGGATGCTGTCGCACACAGAGACCGGCTGGCAGAACTCCCTCACGAAGTCCTCCTCCGAGGCCAGCAGCACTGCATTCCAGGCGCTGATGTCCAGCTCTCCGGCCGTGCCCCCATACTCCTTGGGGAGAATGCTTCTGGGAAGGCTTGTGTGGAGAGAGTTCAGGTCAGACCCATGGAGGAAAAACTAAAGGGGAAACGGAAACATGTGTCCTCAGGTTAGTCAGTCACCTGCGGGCCAGGTAGGTGCTCAAGCATCTGTTGAATGAATAAAGGAACAGCTGATGGCAACTGGACCCTTCCAGTTCCTCAAAAAGCTTGAGGATCCATAATTCCCTTCCATATATGCCATGCTATGTTGGCTGCTCCTTCAAAATGTTTCCAGGATCCAGGCCACTCTGTGGCCCACCTCGTGGAACCCTGCCACCCCCACCTCTCCCCTGGATTCCCATGACGACCTCTGCCTGGTCTCCCTACTTGAAGCCTGCTCTGCAGTCTCTGCTCTTCTTGGTGCTGGTAAGATTATGCCAGTCCTTTCTGTGGGGCCTGGCAGTGCTTCCCACCTCACATGAGAGGCTAAAGCCTGCACGCTGGCCTACAGGAAGGGCCTGTCGCAGTCTGACCCCTGTGGCTCCTCTGCTGCCCCTCTGTCCCCTCTCCCTTCCCTCTGCTGCTGCTCCCAAGCCCAATGTGCTCCCGCCTCAGGACAGCGTCGCTGCTGGTCGTCCGAGATCTGTCAGCACCCTCCCTCACCTCTGCCAAGTCTTTGCTCAAAGGCCAGCTTCTCACTGACGCCATCCCTAACCCCCCTACTGAATGCTACAACCCCTTGCCCCTTGTTCTATATTGGCCCCTTTCTCTGCTTCATTTTTCTCCACAGCACTTATCACATCTTAATTCTAGATAATACACATCCGCTGGCCATGTCTCTCTCTCTCTAGCTCGTAAGCTCCCCTGGAGGCAGAGACTTTAGTCTGTATTATTCATCTAGAACATACTTGTATACTATAGTAGTTGATCGATAGATATTTTTGAATGAATGAATGAACATATGAAGGACGAAATGAACAAGATTATGGACCACAAATAAGGTCATTTCATAGATATAAAAGGCCTGTTCCAAAGGCTGCTTTGGCTTTAAAAGCAAGTTCCAAACAGGATCTCCAGGTACTGAGATAGGTTCAAACCCAGACAGGGATGCCACTAAATTATTCTCAAACCTGGCTATGTATCAGAATCACCTAAGAAGATTTTAAAAGCACAGACTCCTGGGCTCCATCCCTGAACTGGAGTCAAAATCTTCAGGGAAAGGGCCTAGAATCTGGATTTTACTTTATATTTGTAAAGATTTTCTTTTTAAGTAATCTCTATACTGAACGTGGGGCTCAAACTTCAACCCTGAGCTCAAGAGTGGCACATTCCACCGACTGAGCCAGCCAGGTGCCCCCTGTCTCTGTTTTAAAGTCCTTCCCTTGTAACCTTGAGATTCTCTCTGTTTATCCTTTGAAAAAAAAAAAAAAAAAAGCACAAAATTTAAAACCCAGTCTTTAGAGGGACCACAATGTTCCTAGGCCTTGGGAAGAAGAGGAAAAAAACCAGACATCACATGCAATCACAGTACTAGCAAAGGGTGAGAAGTGGCTCTTTTAGGTCAGAGAGGAAGACCATCTTTCAATGTGCCATCTCTCCTTTCTTAAATAACAGGTAAGCTAAAACTCACCTATCTCATAAACCAGGAATGATTCCACAAACTTGATACAGCAAGACAACAAATTTGGTAAACAGAAGGGCTTCAAATAGCATTTTTAAACCCCAAGGAGCTGTAGTAAGACATCACCATAACTTTTTAACTACCTGCCCAACACTACCCTTCTCCCTGTCCTCTTACGCAAGAAATACAATGTTGGTTCACAGTGCCCAGGTCAGGATATTCAATAACGAGTCTAAATGACTACACAGCATGTAACTCTCAGGAGAGCTGCCCACTCTGCTCTCTCCTCTGTCAAATATTATATCCTATTAATTTTATCTTCTTTTCACAGAAAGGATTGCTCATTTATTTTATCTGTAACTCCGTACTTTCCAAATTAATCATCCCATGGCAAAAATAATAAACTAAGAGAAGTTTATTGATGTCACAAATAAGGGAGCCAAAAAAAAAAAAAAGAAAGTATCAGGTCAATAAAATCATCACTTACTCTGTTTGCTATTTTCTCCTTCAGAAATGGTTTTATGATGGCAAAAATGCCTTTAAATATTCGAGGTTCATTCACTACATGGACTGCTTTTATCCGAATGGGGAAGCCATCCTGTGGGGGAAGGGAAGGAGATGTTAGAACATGTGGGGCATCCACAGACAGTCCACAGCCTGCCTCCCTCCTTTAAATCTTCTTTAGGCCCCCAAATCAGTCTGATTGGTCTGATTCTCATGGCCTCCTCAAAGCCAGCTTAAGTGGGGGCTAACCAGGAAGATAAGCCTCAGAGTGATGGTCTGTCTTAGGGCCTAGTCTTAGGCCAACAAATGGAGGGCTGCTTCTCTTGTGGCAAAGAGAACAAAACAAAAAACAAAATAGGACAAAAAACAGAGTCTGTGTAGCTGGATCTGGCAAACATCAGACCTTCAGGATTGGTGTTATCAAAGGGTATTTCTTAGGATGGTACCAGGTGTGATGCAAAAAAAGGTTCCATGGTAGGTAGGTAAGTTTGAGAATAGCACACTATGTAGTCACACGGCTTTCCTGAGCTGCAGGGCTGTCGTGTGCAAATGTGTTCTCACAAAAGGGACATGCTAAACTACATTTCCCAAACTTATTTAACCCTGGAACTTTCTCCCCCCAGATCACCTTAGGAGACTAGAAAACACTGATCCAAACTCCTTATCCTGATACTTGAATCAACAGGGCATCAAAAGAACAGAAGCTAAGGGAAGCCAGAGCATTGGTTCCACATTTCTGATAATGACCAAATGCGACACTGATGTTTAAATAATCAGCCTGGCACCTAGTAGGTGCTCACATGCATTGTGGGATTCACAGAGGAAACTGTTTTATTGCTGGTGCCCCACGGCTCATGAGAGACAGCATCCACGGGCCAGTCAGAGGGAACAAAGAGCCAAACTGTTAGAGCCGTAAGACTCAGGCCAGGCTACCCCTGTGAGGGCTGTGTCCCTATCCATCAAAAAGAAAAAGTAATTCGTGCTCGCTTCAGCAGCACATGTACTGAAAAGAAAAAGTAATTTTTGCCTTGTCTATCTCAGAGGAGTCCCTGTAGGACCGAATGAGTTATAATGATTGTAGGAGCACTTTGCAAACCATTGAACATTGTGCAGATAGGGGAGGAACTTTCTGGTTCCCCACACTTTTTTTCGTGGGCAGTAAAGCAAGGTTTATTGAGCAATAGCAAAGTGATAGCAGAAAGCTCCCGAAGAGGAAGGGGACCTGAGAGGGTTACCCTACACTTAAGTTCTAAAACATAGAGTGCCTGGGGGGCTGAGTTGGTTGAGCATCCAACTTTTTTTTTCCCCCCAAAGATTTTATTTATTTATTTGACAGAGAGATCACAAGTAGGCAGAGAGGCAGGCAGAGAGAGAGAGGAGGAAGCAGGCTCCCTGCTGAGCAGAGAGCCCGATGCCGGGCTTGATCCCAGGACCCCGAGACCATGACCTGAGCCGAAAGCAGAGGCTTTAACCCACTGAGCCACCCAGGCGCCCCAGCATCCAACTCTTGATGTCGGCTCAGGTCGTGATCTCAGAGTCATGAGATTGAGCCCCGCCTCAGGCTCTGCACTGGGGGTGGGGGGTGAGGGGGTGTGGGGGTGTTGAGGGTGGTGGAGGGTGGAATCTGCAAAGATTCTCTCTCACCCTCTGCCCCCGCCCCATACACACGTGCGCAGGCGCATACTCTCTCTCTCAAAATAAAAACAAAAACCACACATAACACACAAGATGTTAAAGCATCCGTCCGCAACAGTCCAACAGGCTCCCTGTCCCCAGGTCCCAGAGGGCAGGGCAGGGTCTAGCACATTAGACAGAAACACAAATTCTCAGTTTCTTTTGTTAGAATTGCTCCTCTGTCTTCTGAAGAAGGGAAAGAAAGAGAAGGAGGGACGGGGGAGAGGGGGAGGAGGGGGAGGGAGGTGGGAAGGGAGGGAGAAAGAAAAAACATACCTAAAGCCTTTCTCTGGCTTAGGGCTCTTGCCCTAAAGCTGATCTTGCCCAGACTAAAGGGACCTCAGAAACTACTGGAGAATCTGACGAGAGTGAGCAGTTAAACAGGACATGTACATTTCTTCCCATAATGTTTTTGAATCTTTCAGACTGTAGGGGAAGTGGGGTTTGTGTATTGTGTGGGACCAGTGGTGAACAGACAGGGTCCCCTGGGAAAAAGCCCAAACCGCCACAGAATAGGTTCACGACAAACAAGGGCCGTACCTGAAGGATGCCAATGACCTTTTTGGCTATAAAAGGGCCAAAGTGAGATGCTTTTGATAAGCTCACTCCTTTGTAGTCCGCAAGAATCACGATTCCATTCACTTGGGTTTCTTCAGACTGAATGAGTTTTTCTAACGTCAAGTATATAGCTCGGATGTTTTCAGTAATTGGGTAGTTGCTCGGTATCCATCTGTCTGAGGTCGTAAGAAATGGACGGAATGTTACAGAGATGAATACGAACAAGTCATCACAGGCCAAGATTTATCTCCTTGCTAGAACTCTTGTTTAAAAATGGAAAGAAAGATACTCTACCAGCATGACTCTATTCAGGTTAGTAAATGGGACACCTTAGCTGCAGCTGGTGTTCATTCCAAAGGCAGCAGCATTTTCTGAAATGGAAATGCAACTGAGCGCTGAAGTTAAAAGCCGGGGCTCTGAAGTCAGACATACCCCGGGGTTTGAATCTTACCAGCTGCGTGAGTTGCTTCCTCACGCTGAGCCCCCGTCTCCCGAAGTAGGATGGGATCGTAATACTAACCTTAATGGTCATCTGTGCTATCTGCCAACAGAGGTGCGCCCAGATTTTTATACCACTGCCCTGAGCCACTTCTTCCCATGCTAGCCTTGCGGTTTGGGTACCAGTGACCTCCCTCCTGGCGGCAGAGGTGGACATGGTCAATGCGGGTCTTACATCCTCCTGGCTACAGTGTGTGACCCCAGCCTGATCAAACAGCCAAAGGGGACTCAATTCTGCGACCGTGGAAGATGTTCCCTTAGTATTCCCTGTATATCTAAGGAATCCTTCCTTTCTCTGGGAAGAAACGACAACTTCTGACTGTTAAACCGCTGTTCTCAAGGAAATCCCACCAGCACCTGTGTGTCCTTCCCTTAGGAAGATGAAACGCCACATGACTGCCGCCACCACGGGGATATGTAATATGTGCAAAATTCCTATGAACAAAGTGTCGGAAAGCTGTGCCAGCTTGCTGTTGGATGTTGCCGCCAACTACACCTGCTTCTGCGTAAGCGGAGGTCATCCTTCTCAAGAACGTATGTCCCCAAAGAGGCCAAGCTAATGCCCAGTTGAGAACAAAACCTCCTCAGCGTGCCTCCCCCTGAAGAGTTGCATTGGTGGGGAGGGTCTAGCTCTGCTCCAGACACACGGGGGGAAAATTCATCTCACGAGCAAAGGGTTGAAATCGCGCAAGCGCAAGTGTTGAAAACACATAAGCCAAGAGGTGAAACCAGTGTGCTAATCTGTTTTGTAATATCCTTATGAGTTGAGTACAGAGGAGTAGTGGGAAAAACCTGCTGACTGGTTCCTAGGTCTGCTGCTGCCCTATAATCTCCACTGTGCTGCTTGTTTTAAAATAAACCACCCTAATTTTGGAAAGGTAAAAACAGCAGGTTAAGCAGCTAACACTGTGCCTGGTACATAGCAAAGGCTCAAGAGGATGGTCTGGTTTCCAAAAAGGGCTTGGTAAATGACCGAAGTGATGTGGCTTTAAGAGAGGACAGCGCAGGGAGGTCTCCACTCCCTGTTAGGCGTCCTTCCAAGAAGACTAGGTACGCGTGAGCAGAAGAGGGCTCCCGGCAAGCATGTTCTCCTGCTCCTGGCTTTGGTTGGGAGAACACTGCAATCCTACTTTCAGATTTTGTCTCTGCTCCCGTCTGACAGAGAATGATAAGGCTGTAGGGGTGGGGATCAGTGGACAATGCCCCTTCACTCCTGAGTTGATAGCACATTTGCCTCCCCTAATTAAAACTACTGCCAGAGAAATGGAAGACGTCCTGATTACCATCAGTAAGTACTGAGATCAAAAAGTGAATCTAGAGTGAATCAATGGCTCAACAAAGTAGAGGAATGGCGGGAGAGGAAAGGAGGGAAAGGGGGAAGAGGCATGTGGCAGATGGTCAGACACTCCTCCTGTCACCCGCCCTGCCCCCGCTGATGCCTGCCTCACCTACGCACAAAGGAGGGACACGGGGCAGGCCTGTTTGTACCCTATGATCAGGGCTGCTTTCTCAGCCCACTACATTCTCCATGCTAGAAATTCGGAATTTCCACAGAGGAACTTAACTGGGTGGCCCAGGAAGTCTGGGCACTAAGGGGTAGGAGACCTCGCCAGGGGCATGGAGGCAGCAAAAGCCAGTCTACAGAAGAAGAGCCAAGAAGATACGCACGGCACAGCAGAAATGTGTGGCCCAGAGGGGTACACAGATGGACAGAGGCTGAGACAGGGAGAACGGCTGGCTTAGTTCCTGATCAGGGAACGAACTGGATTCTGGTTCTGGGGCCCAGGGCCCTGGGAAAGCAGCTATGCTTTTGGCTTGCTGGTTCTGCGGGAGGCTCCTGTTTCATCAGACTAACTCCTTCCTTTCTTCCTAAGCCGGGTTGAGTAGCTTTTTGTCATCTGTCATCAAAAGAGCTTTGAGCAAACCAGGGAGAAGGCAAGGAAGACAAGGCATGGGAGAGAGGGTGTGGGGCACATGCATCCCACAGAGCAGGGCACGCGGGCCCCTGCCCACCGTCTCGGGGAGTACCTGGGCGCATGCACAGGATGTGGCAGCCCCGGGGGTCGGTGTGGGGCAGCACGGTGAGGAATCCCGAAGCGAGGACATCCTTTAAGGCCGAGGGCTTCAGGTTGTTGAAGACCTCAGGCCAGCTTCTCCTGCAGCTGTGGTAACTGACCAGGAGCTGCAGGGCTCGGTCGTAATCGAACTTGCGGGCCCGGAGGAAGCGCAGCAGGAAGGCGTCGTCCAGGGAGGTGCTCAGGTTCGGGCACTCCTTCCGCACCATGTCACGGAGGGCCTGCACGTCTCGAAGTCTCCATTCCGGCTTCTCCTGCAGCTCCTCCCTGGCTTTGGTCACCAGGTCCTCCGTCAGCGAGCACACGTAGCCGGGAGGCTCGGCCGGTGGTGGCAGCTCATTTTCTGAGAGCGAGGCCGCAGAGGGGCTGGTTCGCAGAGAGTCACTTTCTTCTGACATTAGCTACCAGGATCCCTGCCAAAACACAAACCCTGAGCCAAGCGAACAAAGCCCGGAGCCACTCACTTCAGGGCAGCCCCGTGTGGGGCGGGGGGGGGGCACTTCAGTCAGAGTGGGGGTGCTCAGCTGGAATGAAGTGGCTCAGAACCCTGTGGCCAGGTCCCACCCCAGACCGAACAGAGGGAGGATCCCCACCGAGGCCCCCGGGCAGCTGCAGCAGGAGACACACACTCGCCACCCAACGCCACGGTCTTGCTTCCAGATGTATGGATGGTTGCTCGACCTACGTGTAATTCAAGAAATGTGAACTAAAACAACTCTCAAAGTCAGATTGGCGAGAATGCAAAATGGGCGCTGAGATGCTTGCTGTGGGTCAGAGAACAGACTGGCCTAGCCTAGTCAGAGAGCAGTTTGTCTATCTCTATCAAAATGTAAAACCACACACCCTTTGGCTCAGCATCCTGCTTCGGGGACATATACTTCCGTGTGTGTGTGTGTGTGTGTGTGTGTGCGCAAAATACACACGAGGATCACTGCAAGTACTGATTATAAGGGGACAAGACGGGAAATACTTTAACTGCAAACCAGCTGGAGACTGGTTATATAATATCATCCCAAAAATGGGATAGTATCACTCATGGAAAGGAATTAGGCAGGTTTTTATGAACTGACACATTAAGGAAAAGAAAGCAAGTTGCAGAACAGGGTGCATAAGATCATCTCATATTTTTAAAATATTTATCTATATGCTGAGTGCACCTAAAATTTCTGTAAGGAAATACGAAAAAACTGTTCCCAGTGGGTTCCTCTAGGGAAGAGTACTGGACCACAGGACACTTGAGGGAGAGAGACTTTTTCCTGTACTGTTTGACTTTTTTTGACCACACACACATGTGACTTATCATGATGGCTGTGAAACTGGGCTGACTGGCTCTCCCTGGAGCATTACTGAGGGATGGCCCCAGCTGCTGTCCCTCTGCATCCTTCATCCAGCGGATGCCACTTTCCACACACTGTTCCCAGTGACTGAGTGAAGTGTGGGCCTCCTCTAACTTTGCCTTGAGGTTCAGCTTGAACCTTCTGTGGAACTGCCTGGCGGTCCAGGACTCCCTGTCCAAACCTCCTTCCCGGGGGGCTGGACTTCTGTCATTGTCTGAAGCTCTCCCTGCAATTTCTGCAGCTCGCCTCCCTTTTCTGCTTCACAGGTGCTTCCTCCAATTGATTTCTTGCATGCCTGATCTCACCCTGATCCTGGTGTCTGCTTCTTGGAATATCTGAACACATTTGTTGAATAAAAAACAAAAACAAAACAGCTGCTTTAGATATCCCAGGAATAAGGCAGCAGCAGGTGTCCAGTTCTAAAGCCCCAGCTCCTGTCCACAGACACCACTGGTCCCCATCTCTGAGCTCAAGGAAAACTGAGCGCATCTCAGGAGCCTCTGCACATAGCTACTGCCCAGATCCCTCCCCCCAAATCGTAGGAATGCCCACTCCATTCCTCGCATTCTAACCTCCAGCCCCACCCAGCTGCTTTCATTTCCTCCCAAAGCTGTGTTTTCTTGTCTTGCTCACATCCTGTTTCCTCTGGCTGGCTGCTTCTTCCTCCCGTTCCTCACCTGACCAATAGTGATTCATCCTAAAGTCCCAATTAGATGCCACTTCAAGCATTCAACAAATACTGAGTACTTACCATGTATCAGGCCCTCTTCCTGGCACCAAGGACACATCAGTGAACAACAACAAAAAATTGTGCCTTTGTTGAACTTAGATTCTAGTGGGAGAAACAGACCATAAGCAAGCTAAACTGTATAATCTAACAGATGAAAGTGCTATGGGGAGAAATAAAGCATGAGGAGGGTTAGAGGTACCTGGGAATAGGGATTACAATTTTAAATAGGATGGTTACAGATGATTTGTTCATGCAAATGACATTTGAGGAAAGATGAAGGAGATGAGGGAGCAAGCCAGTAGGACATCTGGGAGGAGAACAAGGGCAAAGCCAGAGGCAGGAACACACCTGTTTTGTTTTGTTTTTTTTTTTTCCAAAGAACAGAGAGGACGCCACTATGGCTACAGCCTAATGAACAAGGTGGAGAATATTAGCAGATGAATTTACAGAGGTCCGTGGGCCCCACTGGTATAGGGTTTTGAGGGCAAGTAAGAACTCTGACTTTTATGGAGTTTGGTGGGACCCATCTGAGTAGAGTGACATGATCTGATTTCTATTTTAAAGGATTGCTCGGCTGTCTTGTAAATGGATTGTAAAGGGACAAGGACAGAAGTAAAGAGACCATTCAGAAGCTACTGCAGTAACCTAGGTAAGAGATGATGGTACCTGAAGCAGGAAGCCTTCTCCAACCTCTGGGCCAGGGTAGGAGCTTCCCCACCAGGAGGTCTTTGGCATAGCACTCTCCTTCTGTTGTAATTATTGTCTACAGGCAATTTGTGGGCTACATCTATATCTGTCTTGTTCATCACCCTAAACCCATCATCTAACAAAGTGTCAGACACACAGTCTGCATTCCATAAATATTTGCTGAGTGAAATATATTTCATTCTGAATTAAGTATTTGCTTGGCGGAGGAATGCTAAGTGAGGAATGAAACAACCATCACAGTTCACAGGACCCACCCTGGGCTGTTTCCACACGAGTCACCAACAGATGCCTGTAATCCCAATGCAGTGCTTACCTGGGAGACAGACTGTAGTGTCCAGTACAGTGTGCTGACACACTGTACAGTGTCCACTGTTGTGTCCACTAGGCCTAGTGTCTAGAGGCCTAGCCTGGCACATGACGGTGCTCTGCAAATATTAGCGGACGACGGGAGGTTAAGTGATGTGTCCGGAGGGTACACACCTAGTGAGGCACAGCGAGGATGTGTCTAGCCCCACTCTGGGCTCTACCCTCCACCTGCACATTCCTGTTTAATTTCCAGGGCCTCGGTCCTATCAGGCTCAGAGCAGGACTCAGTCTCGAGAATGAAATGATGGGTGGGCGTATGGATGGGTGCAAACACCATTTGTTACCGTGAAGCCTGGAATCTTCCTCACCTGCAGCCCATCATGTTGTGAGCATCGCCTTCCTTCCCACCCCACCAAGAGGCCTGAAGGCCATCGCTCCTGGAGCCCCAGAGACCCCATGTCTCATTGACAACCTTCTGAGGCCCCCCACTTCCGGCTGTCACCCCTTCCCCAGGTGTCCCCATTTCCTGGGGTCTCTCTCCTTGAGTCCCTTAACTTCCGGTTATGCCTCCCCCTCAGGGGTCCCTCTCCCCGACCCCCATGACACACGGAAGGAACCCTCGGGCACTCACCGGCCGGGCTACCGGGCGGAGCGCGGGTATATCGGCTGCGGGAGCCTCGTCCGGCAACGCGCACAGAGCCGACCCGCACTCCCCGCCCGGCCGGCCCGGCCCCTCGCGCCGGAAGTGACGTCCGTGGGGCGTGGGAAGGCGAGGCGCCGCCCGTGAGTGCGCATGTGCAATATTCCTCCGCAGTGCCGGCCCTCTGTCCCCACCTAGCGGCCAAGTCCGCGAGCTGGAGGAGTCAGGCCTGTGGAGAGGCTAGTTGGGAGGGTCAGGGGGAGCGCGAGCAGCTTTGGGTGGTACAGTTGGGGACAATGAGGCCCAGAGACAAAAGAAAAGAAGCTGCCGTTTCCGAGAACATACTACTATGTACCTAGTGTTTTACATCCGCTGTCTTATTAACTCCTCGTATTTATGGAATCCCCCTATTTCATGGAAGGGAAATTGGCAGTCAGTGAAGTGTAAGGGCTTCCGACCTAGACCTTAGGGGATTAGCGTTCCAGGATTCTTCCCACTGCAGGTGCCACCAGGACTGGCTGCTGCAAAAGGGGAGATGCCAATCCAGCGGACATCTGTCTGTAACTCAGTGACTGCAGGCCTCAATTTCCTCATATGTTACATGATTCTTGCTTTGAAATCCCCATTGAATAATTACTTGTGTCCTGCTTTGGGACTCAAAAAGTCCCCTTCAGAAAGTGGTAGCTTGAAAAAGTGTTCCTGCCCCACCCCCAGTTCATTAAACCCCAGCGCCATCAGCCGGACACCCGCCCCAACATACATTTCATGCAACTATGGCTTTGAGACCAAACTCCTGGGTCGCTCTTTCAAGCAAAGACTCGAAACCATTTCTAGAGAGAAATTCTGTGGCCTGGGAGAACTGAGAGCCCGAAGGTGTATCCAAGAGATGACCTTAAACAATCCTTTCCTTTCCTGACCCCAGAGGCAAGAGGAGCTCTGGGAGGTGGGAACTGACCCATGAGGGCCACAAGAAGATGGCAATTTTTGCCAGATCCCAGACTGTTGAGGAAAGTAGCGGAGCCCAGGAGTCATAAATTTTGACTCCTGCTTCACCACTTCAAGGATAAAATACAGAGTACTCAGTTAAATTTGAATTTCAGATAAACAACAATTTCTTTTTAAGTGTAAGTATGTTTCATGCAACCTTTGGGATATACTTATACTAAAAAATATATTATCTATCAGAAATTCAAGTTTAACTGGACACGCTGTGTTTTGTTTATTTGGGGTTTTACCCCCCCAAGATTTATGTATTAGTTCCCTATCTGTGCTGTAACAAATTGCTACAAACATGGTGACTTGAAACAACACAAATTTATTCTTTTACAGTTCTGCCAGTCAGAAGTCTAAAATTAAGGTGTTAACAGGGATGCAGTCTCTTTGGGGACTTTAAGGGGGGAATCCATTTCTTTACCTTTTTAGCTTCTAGAGGCCACTTGCATTCCACAGCTCATAGCTCATTTCTCAAGTCACTCCAGCCTCTTACTTCTGTTGGAACATTTACTACTGACTCTGAACCTCAAGTTCCTCTTTTAATCTTTTAAAAAATTTTTCTTGTGGTGAGAGCACTTAACATGAGATCTACCCTGTTAACAATTTTTTAAGTGTGCAATACATTATCATTGTTATAGATACAATGTGTCCTGCCTCCCTCTTCTAAGGACTCTTGTGATTACACTGGACCCGCCCAGATAATCTAGGATTATCTCCCATCTCAAGATCCTTAAGTGAATCACATCTTCAAAGTTCCTTTTATCATACAGGATAAGATAATAACAGGCTCCAGAGATTAGGACAAGGATATCTTTGCATACCATTATTCAGCCTACCACAATCCAGCAATCCTATGTCCAACTGTGTGACCATAGCCAAGTCACTCAAATTTCTAAAGCCTTTAGTTCCTTACGGGCAAAAAGGTTGATTAAATAAGTCATGGGGGGAAAACCTTGCTCTTTGCCAGGCAAACAGAAAACAGAAAGTGTTTTTACAAATGGCAGCTCTCATGGCAAAGGGCGAGGGATGATCCTCTCCAAAACATGGTGTCCTAGTCATTGGAAGAAACTCCTCTCCTCCACCCAGACCGGGACCCATTGGTGGAACGTCCAGGTTGCAATCCCAGATACTGCCAGCAGGAGGAGAAGAACCTAGGACTAGAACCTATCTCAAGGGCAGGGGAGGGTTTGTTGGAAGGCAATTCAGAGATGCCCCAGAAGTCCCTGCCCCATCCTCAATTGAGGGCCATTATTTTTGGTTACATATTACGACACCAGGTTATTTTAGGATTAGAAGAGTCGCAGATAATTGCTTTTTGAGAGATTATATACACCAGGTACTAGGTACTGTGCTAAATTGTTTGTATGATTTCAATTACTACAACCCTGTGAACTGGATGGGGAAACTGAAACCCAGAAAGGGAAAGTCACTTGCCTAAGGTGTCATACATCTGTATGACAGCACAGCCCCAAATTTTACTTGGCCTTAGAGGCTACTTTTCCTCTTTGTTCTCACAGGTTGGGAAGCAGGCTCAGAGAAGAAGAAATGGCCCTTGGTCACATGATGACTCCAAAATTGAGCTGGGATTTGAACTTGTCTTTTACTTTTCTGCACTCAGAAGTAACTCACTTGGAATTACTCCTCGAAAGCTCTGTTCCCTTGTGGGTAAAATGGGGGTATGTGTCCCACTGTCTAGGGAGTCCTTAGAAGGAGTCAGTAGAATGGCACGTGCAGAGTCTTGTACATTGGATCATAACATGTCTGCTAACTCCTGATGACTGCCCTGATGAAGAGCAGAAAAGTGACTGGAGAGAGGGCAGCTTGTCCTGCATCTTGGTTTGGAGGGCTCCACACACCCTGCCCTCCTAGGTTCACCCAGTCTCCTAAGAAAGAAGTCTGGCCATTGGATATGTGCTACAGGAGGCCAGAAATGCCTGACCTACCACTGTTCTCTCTCTCTCTTTTTTTTAAAGATTTGTATTTATTAATTTGAGACAGAGAGGGAAAGAGACAGAGCATGAGTGGTGGGAGGGGCAGAGGAAGAGGGAGATGCAGACTCCCTGCTGAGCATGGAGCCCAATGTGGGGCTCAGTCCCAGGACCCTGAGATCATGACCTGAGCCGAAGGCAGGCGCCCAACTGACTGAGCCCCCCCAGGTGCTCCTCTATCTCTTTTTCAAAGCATGCAATTCTCACTTCAGATGATCTGCTAGAACCGGTTTTAGTATTGATTCTAAGGTAAGGGTTGTTTAGGATAGCACCATGATATAGGACATAGTTTCTCCATCCACAACATTATTGACCTTTGGGGCTGTGCAAGTCTTTTTTTTTTTTTTTTAAGATTTTATTTATTTATTTGTCAGAGAGAGAGAGGGAGAGAGAGCGATCACAGGCAGACAGAATGGCAGGCAGAGGCAGAGGGAGAAGCAGGCTCCCTGATGAGCAAGGAGGCCGATGTGGGACTTGATCCCAGGACGCTGGGATCATGACCTGAGCCGAAGGCAGCTGCTTAACCAACTGAGCCACCCAGGCATCCCTGTGCAAGTCTTTTTTGAGGGTAGTACCCCACACTTACAGTGGTGAGAAGCAAAAATGACTTCAGACATTGCCAAATACAAGCTAGGGAACAAAATTGCCCCAGCTGAGAACCACTGGTATAGAAAAAGAAAGCTGGCTTCTGGTCAGACAGACACGAGTCATCTGGGGAACCTTGGAACAATTACTTACCTTAGTTTCTTCAACTACAGATGCTCTACTAACAGCTACCACTGATTCAACACCTTTTCTTTTTTTTTCTTTCATTTTGGGGGGTGGGCAGTGCCATGAACTCTTCGCCTGAATAATCTCATTTAATTGTCAATAGCAGAATCCTGGAGGGACACTGGCTGGTGGAAGCAGGAAGGAAGAAGTAAGAGTAAGGGAAACAGGGAGAAAGTAGTCTGTATTAAACATCTTCTGTGTACCATGCTGGATGGCAGGTGCGCTCACATACATTTATCCCCTGTCATTCACTGTGTGATTTTGAGAAACTGACCGTGAGGCTCAGTTTCCTCATCTGTAAAATGATTGGAGCTGGCAAGTTCTGGTAAGATGATGGCAATGATACCCAACCCAGATTTAAATCCTCCCAAGTTCCCACATAAAAACAGAAACAACATTCCATACCCACATTTGCAACAGAACTAGGTGACAAGGTATATTCAGGAACTCCAGGAACAAAGGACTGAGGACAAATCAGCAACAGCTAGGAGGCCTGAGTGCCACTAGCGCCTCTGGGAGGAGGTACAACAGGGAAGCAGCAAGGTATCTAACAGACCTAAGAACTGGAGTCCCCAAACTGCAACATCTATTCGTGGGAAAGCACGACCCGGCCACTTGAAAACAGCAGCCAAAACTGGGAAAGGTTTTGCCCACTCTAACTGGGGAAGGGCAAGGGGTCTGCCATGAGCCCTAAGGGCTGACAGAGTTCAATGCCCGTGAATTCCAGAAAAGACCACCAAACCTTCCTTCTAGGACAGGCTCCATGCTGAGAAACTCCTGGGAAGGAGATTGCAATGGAGCAGGATAGGGAAGCAGAAGTCAAGGAAATAACTGAGCTAGATGAAAGTGGGGGAGAAGAACAGAGCCAGAAACCTCAGAGGTAAAGCCAGATTTTTGTTAACAATATGCAGAAACAACAGAAGGGGGAGCTCTGTGAAAATACAAAAGTTTTCTTAACCAAGCCTCCTCTTCAATGTTCAGAAAAACTAATTTCATGTAAAAGTGAGCAATGGAGGGGCACCTGGGTGGCTCAGTGGGTTAAAGCCTCTGCCTTTGGCTCGGGTCGTGATCCCAGGGTCCTGGGATTGGGCCCGCATCAGGCTCTCTGCTTGGCGGGGAGCCTGCTTCCTCCTCTCTCTCTGCCTGCCTCTCTGCCTACTTTTGACGTCTGTCAAATAAATAAATAAATAATCTTAAAAAAAAAAAAGGAGCAATGGAGGGGTGCCTGGGTGGCTCAGTCGTTAGGCATCATCTGCCTTCAGTTCAGGTCTTGATCCCAGGGTCCTGGGATCGAGCCCTGCATGGGGCTCCCTACTTGGCTGGAAGCCTACTGCTTCCCTC